CTGCGACGCTTTGGCATCCGTATATCTGTCAGAATCCGAACTCAGCAACTTCTCCATCAGCTTCTCCATTGTCTCGCACTCATACCATCCGTTCCGGATCGCTGATTCTTGTGCCTCTAGGGATCGGCCCTAAGGGGGGATACTGTCATATACCATATATCCGGTTACAGATCCGATGATCCGGATCTCAGATCCGATCCAGATCCGATGAAACATATCTGTCGTCCGGTCCACAGATCCGCTTTGATTCTTATTTCATTTCCTGTTCATATAACTCTAACTATTGTTCATCTCCTTTCGGTATTCCTGTACACCGGTTATACCGGTTATCCTTACTTCCGCTTTGCTTACTGATCCGCTACACTTACGAATCCGCTTTTTACTTGTACTCATTCCCGGTCATGATTCGTGATCCATCCAACTTACCAATACGCTCCACTTAGACTTTTGCTTATACTTTCGTTCATAGCCTCGCACCTTTGCTTATTGATCATTCTGTTAGCCATCCGTAGTATATAAACCTTTGTATATGCGCTGTAGTAGATCAGTTTTTAATATCATCTTAGATTGCACTCATTCCGTCTGGACTCTAAGTCCCCCTGTTATCTGTCCGGACTTGAGTACGCTACTCTTGTCTACTCCGAGACTTAGGATAGATTCCTATAGTCTACATATCCGCCTCTGTCATTTGGACAGTCCTCACCCGTTAGTTTCTAGTCCGGATCCAATCCGGATTAGCCGTTACTCTATACGTTCGATATCCGGAAGTCTTAACGGATCCGTTGCGATACAAGACTTATCCGTTACAATACTTATCCGTCTCACTAGACACGATACTTTAGCTCTCTGAAATAAGGGGCAAGACTCGGGAAAGGGGCACAGCGCATAAGCTGAGGCCGAAGCCCTTCGGATCCGATACTACTTGAGTACGGTCTTAACACCTATCCACATATGAGCGCGGACAAGACTGTCTATGTCTTGCGGAACGTAAGTGAGGATAGCCTCGTCACAGTCGGTACCATAAAACATTGCTCTGTGGTAGGTTCACCCAACCTAAGGAAGAAAGCAAAAACATCAATGAAGAGCTCTAGAGAAGGAGAAAAGCCTACCAGCTGATGAGAGAACATATAATTTTCAATCAGGTAGATGTCAACAGGATTGGTGGACTTGTGTGCAAACATCAAGGAAAGAGCTTAATGCAAGTACCATAGAGACAGGAGCTCATAGCAATTGACGTCACATAAACACTGTTTTGGGAAAATCAATGTCATGTCACACTCACGGAAGACATACTGAGACCACCGACACATACTACAAGTTCCGTGATTGAGACAACCCGAGACAACTGCATTTTGAGCGACTGAGAGGTATATAAAGTGCATGCGATATGAGCTACAGTAATCAACATCCAACAAACATGTCGACCTCAGAAAACCAAACCAACGAATTCACTGTCATAGGCTGTTTGTTTACTTTCAGCGAACCGAACAGTTTTGTGGAAGTAGCTGTCAAAAACAGAGCAGCCGGACTATTCCATCTTACAAAACCTAACCTTTATTTTGCAAATGACACTGAAATCAAGGAGTGTCAAGTAAACATGCTCAAACAGCAGTTCGAGGAACCCACGGTCTTCAGTGTCCTCTATGACGGGAACATGAATGGGAAACTGCAATGTCCTTACCTTGTACTCAAGATCCTCAACAGATCGGATCTAGTAGACATGGAGAGAAAGGACTACGTGTCGGCGACTAAGTCTGTTGAACAGTGAGTAACAGCAGCATCATGACAAGAAAACCTCTGTTGATGTAACTAATACATTAGTGTGCTACACAAAGCACGTGATCAAGATAAAGGGCAGTGAAATGAGGATGAGAGGGACGAGGAAGACTCGAGTAGTAAATATGAAGATGACTATGAGGAAGATCAATCTCCTCAGAGTAGAAGTAAAGACATACGCATAAATGATGTTGCAATCTTATTGATATCCAGAGAGCAATGAGTTTCTGCACATGAGCAAATCATGTGCGCAATCATGCGTAAACTGCTGACTTTCACAAACTCCCTATTAATCAGCCAGACATAGGAGACAAGTTATACAAAGAATACAGGGACTCACTGTCTTGCCACATCCACAAATCAATATCAGAAAAAACACCATGACCAACCTGAATGGTGATTTCGACAAGCTCTGCGCAGAATTACAAAGGATGGTGATGGAAGAGCTGGCGCTGCCTGATCTCATATCGCTTAGGAAGACTAGGATGGAGAATAATGAAGGTGTAAAAGATTACATGGAGGATCGGCGAAGAAAACTGTATGAAGTATTTGTCAAAGACGTTGACAAATTAAAGGACCTCATGGAACGCACCGGAACAGTTGTTTCTGGGTCAAGTGCACTCCACCTTTTCCAACCCAAACCCAATGTGCTAAGGTTGCAAGACTTGGATGTATATGCCACTGAAGAGTTCAGCCAGAAGGTGTTGAATCACTTCAAAGACGACGAAGAATATGAGGTGACTAACACAGTCAAGTGGAGGAGAGATTACAACAGCTCGGCCATATCAAGAGTGCACAAACTCGAGAAAAATGGCAAGTTGGTAGACGTCATCATCACCAACTGGGCGAGTGCAATTATCCCTGTCCTACAATATCATTCTACCATCGTCATGAACTACATGACAGCACACACTTTCATATCCCTCTACCCTGAGTGGACGAAGGCAGGGAAGAGTTTAGTAAACCCTGCAGTATACATGGGTGAGAAAAGCAACCTGCAAACAGTGTTAGCACTCATGAAATACATCAGGAGAGGCTTCTATGTGAGTGCAGAGCCATTTGACATGGGGATTCATAACTGCGACCAAAGCACATACTGTCCACGCACAACAAGGACCACAATTGACGAGGGAACCCCACACTGGGAGTTTGAGGTGAAGAACACAGTAGGAAAGACTGTGATAGTGTGCAACAACATGGCTGTCATAGAATGGTGCCTCAGAGGAGAAGGTTGCAAAGATGAAAATGAAGAAAGTGTGGCTGCGCACATTGCTATAGCGGCCTGAGGACAACACGACAGAATCAGATACTTATCACATAATGTCAAAGTTAATGAACTTGAATCTAAGTGAAAGCTGTGGAGATCCTGGCCAATACTAAAACAAGGGAAATAAAAGGTCCTGGAATGCCTGGAGGGCCGTTGCGAATCTTTAATGCTGGCCTATACTTTGAAATGAAACTTCACATTTAAGACTCAAAAAAACTTCAACAATCGCACATGACTGAATGTCTGCTCATATACGAAATTCAGACCGCTACTTAGACAGGTGTTTAAATTTAAAATACCTCCTGACGATCAAACATGAAGGTAAAACATCAAGTTTTGTCTCCAGACAAAATTAATCGCCTGACAATCGCCCACTCACGAGTAGATAATCTCCCATTTAAAGAAAACTCATATTCCACATTCTAACAGTACAGTATTTACATATTGTAAGGACAGAGTGTTTGATGCCGCAGAATCAATCCGTGTCGACGCCATGGTATAGTAATCATACAAGGTCATCTAATTGTCCGTGAAGGCTGAGAGGAAATCAGAGATGTACAAACAACAAAAAAGATAGCTTACCACTTGCTTTCATAGTGAGAAAGTCAGAACATGCCACGTCAAGGTTCTTCTTGAATTTCTTTGTTGCCCCATTGAACTTGAGTCCATGTTTCAAACGCGTGTTGTTCACTGGCCCGTTATTGTCAGATGAATTGCAACATCAAGAAACACCTTGACGAATGTTTTCAAGGCGTGTCTGAAACCAGCCTTCGCATCGAGCAGACCAGAACCCCACGTCCAACCCTGACCCAGCCCAGGCCCGAGGCCTTGGCCACCAAGACAATTTTTCAATGCATCCATTATCTAATGTTTCAAATATGAGCACGCTGCGGGTCAATATGAATAGGGAAACTTACTTGTGTACACATAATATGTCCCGCAAATGAAATCAACCTCCTCTTCTGACAAATCATCATCGAAGTGAGTCTTGCAATTGAGAGACAACATTTGTCCAAATGGGACAGCATCCTGTGAAATCCCGATCAGGGCCGAGGGGAGGACATTGGAGCCAAGGCTATGTAATGCTAGCCGCCATAAAATCCCGCCGCGAAGAAGAGCAGCTTGTGCACAATCCTCCTTCATGAACTCATGGTGATACTGCTCGTACACAATATAATCTGTGTAAACCGCCTTGAAGGGGGGGCGGAAGTATCTGAGCGAGTATGTACGAAGTTCACTGAGTGGGCGCCGAGTGCGAGGAGAAACTGCCATGGGCTGCAGTGTCTTGAACGGAATGCCTTTTTTCAGGAGTTTGAGGGCAATGGTTGAGATGTTGGACCCCCAGTCACGGCGGAGGCACATCATGGCTGTAGCAGCGTTGGGGACCACAAGATTCCAGGGAACGAGACTTCTTGATTGACTTGGCTGGATGACATAGAGTCGCTCCTGGCCGGGGATATTGAGATAAGAAACTCAAATGAACGCATTCAAAGCCGACAAGGGAGTCCCGGGCGCCAGATCCCAGTGATCAGACAGGATCTCAGACAACTGAGATGTGGGCAGGGTGGCAAGGTAACCTATGAAGTATGTAATGACATGCTTTTGCACATCTGAAATCGAGTCCACATCCTCGCCTGAGTCCCCAACAATGTTGCCAACGTGGCTGAACTTCTGCTTCTTGACCCAATTTTCGAAAGTGGCAGATCCACCAATGGATCTAGTAGTCGATGCTGCCAGATGAAAGCTGAGGTGAAACTGTAAGTGGGTGACAAAGTGTTCCACACCCTCAGTATAATTGGATGAGGGTGCAACCTCATGACGTCCGAAGTAGTTGTGAATGTCCTGCAGGAAGCTGAACAACGATGGAGGCGCAGGGGGTGGTGGTGGCAGAGGATCAGGGATGGGGTCCGAGAAATTAAAGTTGTCTTCTTCCCAGTTGCCGTCGGGGGTGCTGGTGGGATCTAACTGATCACACAAGTCCCACTCATTTCTGAATGAATCAAACCGTCTGGTGGAGTTACTGTAGTTCCCCCAGGTCATCGGTACCTCGGCCTTCATGAGGCAGATGTGTAGCAAAAGCCCCCAAACTCGTCTTGAGGTTGCCATTCGAATACTGTGACCGTACTGGACTTTCCAGGAAGATTATGTCTCTTCGCTGCCTGTTCCCGACTCTTGCATGATTGACATTGAGCTGGGGATTCCTTCTCCTGCTTCTTCTGATTTTCCTCAAGGCGCTGTGCAAAGAAGGCCTTCCAGTCTTCTCCTGATTTTTGCCACTGAGTTTTTGAGGGACTGGAAAGTGAGAGTCCACTTGAGGAGCTTCAGGTGCAGGCCCCCATCCAAGTGCAGTCTGAGTTGCATTGTCATCCCATCTAAGGGCACTCTGGGTCTGAGTTTCACCATCCTGCTTACCCCAGACACCATCATCCTGACCCCAGGCACCATCATCCTGACCCCAGGCACCATTATCCTGAACCCAGGCACCATCATCCTGAACCCAGGCACCATCATCCTGAACCCAGGCACCATCATCCTGACCCCAGGTGCTGTTACTTTGGCACTGCGCCTCAATTGCACAGGCAACAACTTCTTGGGATGGGTTATAATGACACAAATTCATGTGGAAGTTTGGTTGGCAGTGAACCCAGATTGGGATTGAGAAGTGTTTGAACATGGGTAGTTGTAATTCCCAAGGGCAGTGAACAGAGGATATGAAGATGCCTGTGCGCGGAACCTTAGTCGACAGATCTCCAACAAATGAACACGACAATTCGTGAACCCATTCGGCTGGTATGGGGCATCTGGGGTCATCGATGAAGAGAGCCATCCACAGACAATTTGATCTGCGATATTGACGAGTCATGATGTGCCATGAGCACACAGCAGCAATTACTAGACATGTGCCAGTTGCGATGAGATTGAAGATATGGTTCACGTACGTAGAAATGCATTGCGAGATCTCATTGCAACTTTCTTAGCGAGCTTCGCATCTGAATGTGACCTTTGGTACCCATATTGAGCAGGAGGGCATGCAAGTACAGTGCCCCATTGAATTAGAAGTCCAGCTCCCAAAAGCTCCTGGCACCAGAGTAACTTCTTCTCTAGCTTGCGCCAGCTTTCTCTAATGTCATGGTGGAGGATGTGCTTTCCCTAGCTGTCGAGCTCTGTGTGCAGGGAGAACATCGAGTGGTTCAGACACTCAAATATTGGACCGTCAAAGCTAGGATTCAAGGGGATGAGAGGAAACCATGGACGAGCTCCATATGCCCAATGAGTGGTGAGGGGTGAAGTGGTGTCATCCGGAGATGAGTCATGATCATCCTGGGGGTCCCATGCTGGCTCGTAAGGAATATCATCGGGAAGAGAAGTTGCAGTGAGGGAGGTGAATATCTCACCACCGGAAGAGAAGCTTTGCGTGAATTCTTGACGCTGCTGGATGTAAGTTCTCGTGATCAATGATATTTTCTGGCTGATATGTTGATAAATCATTACTAGGAATACATTGCAAAATCGGAGCCAGAAACTGGCAAGAATTGAAACTTTCCGAAAAGCATTCAAATGCGCATGTGTTTGATGACATCCTGGCAAAGGGCGCCACTCGAAACTACAACACAAAGCCCAATGAAAGGATGCATGGGCCATTGCGTGCTATCTACCTCTGGCAGACAAATTTCAAAAATGTCACTACCCAGGTCTGTAGACAACATTTTGCTCAATGCTATGATTCACTGATTTGAATCATAGGTCCTTCGCTATGACCACTGGCTGCTGATGTCAATGTCAATGCATTCTGAGGTCGATGACCTGGATGAGTACACACGCCAGAAAGTCGTTGACCCTGAGGCAGGTAAAGAGATCGAAGAAGATGCAACTCATACATATTTGGGCATGAAGCAAGGCAACCAGTCTTTTCACAGATCGAGCAGGAGCATGCAGCAGACACGGCCTTTTCTGGGTTTCGAGTTAGGTTGAACAACTTCTTGAACAAGTTCCTGCCTCAACATGGAATTCCCCTCCCAGATGGGAGGCGTGTACATTTTCGAGCTGATGACTAGGTAATAATCTAGCTAGTCCATTCTATTTAAACATTATGATATAACACCCTTTTGGCAGGTCACAGTATTTCAATGCTTGCGCGTGAATTATGAATCTATGGTCAACTGGCGCCTAAAATGAGACCTACTTCAATGCAGCCCGTCTTTCTTTGAATCACCCAGGTATGATTGTGTCATAGTGAAGACCCAAGACCAGCCATTCTTTGCATGTCTTGTTTACTTGTTTCGCTGTTCAATCAGCGAGACCGTCCTTTCTCTCATGCTCATTCATCCTTATGATGTTGCCATCAGCCATTGCCGCAGGCATGACATACAAACTAGCGCTACTTATCCCAATAGGCGCGAGTGTAGTATTCGACCCAAGAGGACTGCTATTGAAGCAACTTTCTTCTAATATGCAAGGGTAGCGATAGCACGAAGGACTAATAACCTATAGCGACCTAAGACCAAAAACTGATGAGTAGTGCTGTAGCGATCAGCGACTAGCGACTTTTGAGTTCTGACAGAGAAACGTGCATATAAGTGAGAAGCGCTATGCAAGTTGTTTCATGTGATAGCGCTATGCGACGTCCGACTAGCAACAGCAAGAAGAATCAAAGGGAGCGAAAGCGAGGAGTAAGGTAAGACAGTGCAAGTGAAATGCCTGATAGCGACTAGATTATAGCTTGACTACCGACAGTGATCCCGACGTTGCAAAAGTCGAACTTAAGAGGGAAACTTTAGCGACGCGCACTTAAAACAAGTCAAGTGACACACGATCAGAGAGATTGGCAAGAGCGGAATCGATTGCACCAAGACTAGGATATAGCGACTAAAGTGACTCTGACACCAGCAAAGGTCCGGGGAGGGGAAGTACTGTACTGTATGTAGGACGGGTCATTTTATCATACTGTGTAGGGGTTTGGGATTGCGTAGGCGAGTATAGTAGCGATACTGGCGAGGGCACGATGTAGCGACAGGTAATAAAACATGCAGCGCTGTGGAACATGAGGACACATGTAATAAGACCTGCGACTGATGAGTAGCAACATTTAAGGAAAAATAACGCACCAGTGGAGGTAGGTGGACATAGGCAGGACATGGGAGGATGGAATACCTAGGCGTCGGACCGGGGTAGCGCGCTATGGGAGAAAAGTGGTTCCAAAGTGGATAGCTTGGGAGCTGAATAGCGCTGGTGACTAGCGCCTTACTCTTTTTCCTCTGGACAAGGCAAAATATGCCTATGACACTCATACACGCCCAGTGCTGGTATGATTGTCACAGCGGGCTTGTAATGACTTCATTCGAAGGAAGATGTCGGTATCAATGGTGTCCATGACAAGATAATCCCCAGCTGTAGCAGGGTCACTGGCAAGCACAGCGCCTCGAATAGTGGACTCAATGGAAATGAGTTCCGGAGACATGCGAGGTTTGGCTCACACACAATATAGCCCTTAATGGTCCAGCCTTGATAGTAAGTGATTGATACTATTAGTGCAATCCACCTGACCATCTCTCTAGAATCTTCCGCTCGAGCTTATGCTGGTCTTCTGATACTCTCATTGGAAGCTTCAGTGTTGTTTCTCATCCTACAATTTAAATGCCTTCATTCCTTTTTGTCAGTGCTTGATATTAATGTTAGATACACTTGAGTGTTATAGATTGTCAATGTAGGGACATACACTCTCAGACTGTGATGGATTACTATCATAATGATTTCAAACTCAGCTAAGGCACATCGAAATCTGATTCTGATCACAATGATAATGCGCCATCAGTTGCATTAAAATATGTTGGCATTTTGATGCCGCTAGGGAATTTCCAACAGAGCCAGATATCCATAATGTCTAGTGAGCTTACTGCAAACCCTTTCCATCTCATACCTCATATTGTTGATCTGCTCTGTTTGACTGTACACTGTTTCGTGCAGTTCCACCGAGTAATCTACTTCTTTGAAGCGGCGCTTGTCTGGTACCTGGACAGACACTGAGCTCGACATTAACTTCATACATCTGGGTGTCCTGTTTCAGGCCTTCCCCTCTTATTGGACACAGTTGAGGGCTGCTGTCCTGTGGCATCATCTAGGTCCATCTGTGATACCTCCCTCTTGTCCATCCTAGTCGTCCTTGTTAGATCCAAGTCCATATGATCGGACTGAATTTGGGTCTGAAGTGCATCAGCATCTTCCATGTCATCATCAAACAAGTTCACATCATGGGATGTTGGATGTCTTCCTGGGCAAGCCATGGCATGTTAATAGGAGCAAGAGGAGTAGATCATGTCAACGTTAGTTTCTGGGCTCAATATGCATTATCGCACTTATATGTAGCCCTAACAATAACATTGTGATCTCATCGTATCCGCTTTTTGGGTGTTCTGTATTGTTAATGATTCTTACTTTTCAGGCTAGGCTATGGTTGGACGATCGGGGGCAATAGCATCATTTTTTTAAAACAAAAAAGTCATTTCACGAAGTCCAAGTAGATCAGGTGGCTTTACGATAATGTACTGGATTTATTGTCTGCGGTTGCTTCATTCCATGAAACAAATAAAGACGATGAATTCAATTTGCAGAATATACTCCGTGCAGAGTGTGCTCGGTTTGAGGCTAGTAAAGTACTATAAGATCGCCCACTCTCATCTCTCCAGTTATCTTCAGCACTGGTCACCTACAGCTAATTTCATCTGTCATTCCTTTATTACAATGGTCAACACTACAGACACGCCGTCTTAGTCGTCGATAATACCCTCGTCTAGTTGTCGAAGTTATTGCTGAAGAACTCTTGCTATTGAACGTCCGCTGGTCTCAGCAGGCTTAGCAAGACCCCCTATCCAAGTTCCAGTTGTGAACTCGTGTCGTTCATAACAGAAGGTTGTTGATGTGCTTGTTGAACAATGAGACCACTTCCTCGAACTCGACCTTCATCTTCTTCGCAACCATGAGGTCATACCACTCCTCTGCAAGAGGAACAAGCTTCTTGAAGTAGGGGGCGAATTGTTCTCCAATGCACGATTTCATCGACTCTCCCAAGAAGAAAAAGAGCTTCACTTTGGCTTTTGAGTGACTTCTGCAGGCATAACATGCCACCGCTCTGGTAACCACATCTCCATTCTTTCAAAATCGCGGTCCACGCCATTCTCAAGGCAGCGCTCTTCGCACCTAGGTCCTTTGAACATTATGCAAATCCAGGTGAAGATGTAAAACATCAATTCGAGGTTGTCGTAGTACGTATGCTTGATTTTGGGCATCTTCTCGGGAGTCAAATGGTCTGTGGCTAGCTTAAGTTCTTTTACCGATTTCATACCCTGCGAGTATTGATAATTTAGCTTGCCCACTGCCTTAAGGGCGCTGACAGACATAAAGGGTATGGTTCCCTAAAAATTTAGGTCATTCATTGCTCATCAAATAAATAAGGCGCTTACTGTTCCGCCGGCAGAGTACATATTGTCGGATGTGATGCGCGCCGCAAATTCCCAGTCTATAAGCGCCCCTCGACTGCCATCCTTAGTGTCTTCTATCATGGAATTATTCAGACTGCAGTCCCTGTGCAAAACCTGGTGCTCTGCAACCACACGCTTTTGAACTGTAACAGTCTGGTCAGATCAGATGTACTAACTAAACTACAACAGACTCACTTAGCACAATATCGCGTAATGCTTTGACAAGCTCTTTTCTAGTTTAAAACTCATGCAAGGGACGGGCTCATGGTTTCAAGACGAGACGGACATGCATGCAATAGACACCTTGGGGTGCTACTATAGATCTTCTGGCGATACACTTGTGTATTGTCGACTTTGCCTGGCTCTACCTCGACAAGACAGTGTTCAATGTATTGGGGAACACCGGGGATATCCTTCAGAGCTTTCAGCATCTCCACCTCATTCAACACTATAGTCTCGTCGCCCTTCACCCAATGATCCTTAATGATAAACTCTTCGCCATCTCTCTGAGCCGGGGTAGCAGATGGTTCTGCGGCCTACAAGTCCTTGATTGCAGAAGATAACCTTTAGCAACTCATATACATTGTCATGGATGGCGATCTTTCCTATCACATCGTCAACCTCAGCATCTGTATTCTTGAGATCTGGCGAATCAATAAGAGGAGCGGAGTCTGTCTCAGGTTCAGGTTCATCTGTGAACTTGGCGGGAGATGGAAGCTGGTCGGGAAGTGAGTAAAATCTTGTCTGCACATCCAGTGCATGAGATTGTGTTAGCTCCATCTGTGCATCTAGTGAACATGGCTTGTGGGCGGCTTGATTCCTTCGCTTGGGAAGACCTTTGATATTCCGGGCCCAAAATGCTCCAGACAACAAGCTCGTCATCTTCAGGTTGATCGTGATCATGAGGTCAAATCCAATGCAGTCATGTCAACCGAAAACGATGCACACCATGATGTATTTGAAAGTGTCAGGATTCTCATGTATGTCAATTTCTGGGGTCACGATGCCGCCCGAATGGTCATGTACATGCACACGGAGCTTGCGATAGTTATTGCTGAAGGAAAGAGATAGTATAAAATGCCTCCACGGTTGCTCTCGGAAAACGAGCCATGCCTTTGTGTCATGCATCTTTCCAGTGGGTATTGAAGGGGTGTACGAGGTCGTGGTCAGCTCAGCAACTATGAGTATAGTGTTCCAATGTAACACTGTGTGCTCTGACAAGCAGACATCAGGCTTTCGTTGAACATGCTCACTTTCAACGGGCACGGTAGAGCTCAAGCCATACCAAAGTGGAGGAAATGTGCCTGATGAAGGAAATGATTGGAGGAGGGCTTTGGTGAGGTTGTTGAGGAAGAATGGGAATGTTTTCTCAATTGCCTCCCCCTTCTTGGGAAGCGCTAAGGACCATTGTTTTGTGGTAGAGTCGTAGAGCGGCTTGTTGGTTGAATCTTTGAGGGTATCTGTAGCAGGCAAGTTTGTAGGGTCGAATGAATTGAAGATCAAGGGTAATAGATGTTCCATATCATTGGCATCTCCTTCGCGGCGGGTTTCTTGGGTAATCAAGCAATTGAGCTCACAAGATGTAAGTTTGTCCATGGAAGAAATGTCGGACTGAATGACACCCAGTGGGTGTAGCGAGCCAATTTTTAGCCTGAGTTCAGACAAGAGAAAATGCTTTGACATGGCGGTTGCATTGGAAAGCTGAAGTGTCGCTGTTCTCAAAGCCGCCTAACAAGGCTACTGCTATCACAGGAAGATAATATTAGCATATCTGAATGCAGTATGTTTGACCCAAATGTATGACTTGAATATTACTGTTCGAAAGATTGCTCGTCTTGCATCCCAGCATTTGAAATAATATAGTAAATGACTATATGGAAGTACTGGAAGTACTGGAAGCGCACTAGAGGGAAGTAACACGCAGTCACTAAGAGTACATATGTAATTTCGAATTTGAAAATTCACACCATATGACTAGCCAGGCACACAGACTTCATTTGTTGGTCTTTGAATACATGTGATATACCCACAGATAATACAAAAGCATGTACTCTAACTTAAACTAGCTTAGGCATGTGAATGGTAATGATAAGGGGATTCATGTAAGTTAAGGGTACATTAAGGGTACAGTGCACTGGCAGGGATGAATCAAGTTTTCTGTAGACATCAATGTATCAGCATTGACTTTCAGAGTAGAATAGACTGACCTTGGGTGTATGTTTCTTGCTCTTTCCCATAGCCATCCCTGCTTCTTTCTGCCTAGCACGACCCAATGTATATTTCAGGCGCATCATAATCATATCATCAACTGGCCAGAATTTGCTATAGTTTTCTAGGTTGGGGAAAGCATTGACAGCCTAATAAACTATGAGGTCATGGATAAACCATTATTTATTGAGTGTTTACTGACTTTATCGCACACGGTCTTCAAGAGGATAGGGTTTGAGAGGAGGCACACTTCGTTGTATTGAGGTGCTCCTCAATGAGGTGGTGCATGGAATTCTTGAGGTGTTAGTAAACAAAAGGCATACGTCAGTGGGAGTGTGTTACTAACCTTGAACTTGCTGTATGCCTTTGGACTCCAATCCAAAGCCTCGCAGATTGTGTATCCTCCACGCCCAGGATGACTGGGCTCACCAGGAGGCTTTGGAATCTTCGAGTCCTCTGATAGGCTTGCAGCCGAAGTTGATGAGTCACTGTCTGATAGTGAATCCAAGGAACTTGATGAATCCAAGGGAATGGGTGTCCAGGAACAAGAACACTCAAGAGAGACTCTCTTTGGGTACAGCGAGAAAGACGATCAGTATTCTTGGATGGGCGTGCCACAAGCTTGAAATCAGGTGCCAGCGTGTTCTTGGGCTGCATATACTCTCAGCACGAGGAGCAAGCTGAAAATGGTGCTAACCTTTGGCGGAAGAATCTCGTCAGTAACGAGCATAGTCGAACGATGAGGACTGCCAAAAAGTTCGAGCTGGTCCATAAGCATAGGCAGGAAGGGGGGTGGAGCACCAGGCTCTTGATCATAAAAGGGAGAGACAGCTGTTGATGTGTTGTGCATGATCTGTGTGTTAAGGTGGGTCAAGCTGGTGACGTGAGCGGGACAAGTGGGCGACGTGATACAAACACTGGATCTAGTAAGGTATGATGGAATTTATGAGTGACACATAAGACCAACAATATTACATTAAAACAATAAAGACACGATCAACAACACGAAGTTGTCTTGGAGAAGTCTTGAAGCAAATTACTACAAAAGTCGTAAAGATAAGTGTCGTAATTAGAATTAAAAAAATGCCAAAAGATGAAAAATCAGCAAAAAGAGGTTGTCTAGGAGAAGTCAAACTACATCGTTCATAAAAAGGCGAATACAAACAGTCAGAAGCTCAGTCGCCATGGAATCACAAAGACCCCTAGTATAAAGATTATTGAATTGTTGAGCTAGTGAACACACTGTTTAAGATCACCCCAGCGATGTATTCCTGGTCTCTATTCAGGGAATCAATCCAATGCTTCCAGCATCAAGCCCGCCTCACAACATACAGCGGGTCTGTCCATGCGCTCGCAGTATCTAATGATGGCCAAGCTTTTGCATGTGGGGGTAAATCGCATGTGTTCTAATTATTGAAGCGCCAACAAAATAAACAGGCACTGAGGGCATCAAAGTCTGGGACATCAAATCTCGGAAAGAACTCACATGCTCAACTCATAATGAGTCCCGAGGAACAGTCAGCTGTGCTGTCTGGATTACCACAAGACTGGCCATGACGGAAACCCTTTGCTATGGAACAGAGCTGGGTTACATTGTGTTTTTGCAATGTAGCCCGGTAGATGTAAGGATGTCCTGGTTCATCATTGAGTTCTCGCCTAATATCAACCAGATGCTTTTTCAGGAAACTTGCACCAGGAGGCTTGGATTGGGCTTCGAAATTACATGTATGTCATGGAATATGTACTCTGAAGGAAGTACTCGTATTGCAGTCGGGACAAGGGACAAGATAGTTCAGGTCCTTGTTCTAAATACAAATTCGCAACTGGAGGCCATTTTTGCAGTGTGACTGGATAACACTGTGCCAAAGTCTGTAGCATTTGCAGACGACAAAGGCGTCTATGTGTTTGGACTATATGATGGCAACTTCATCAAGCTGAAGGGGGATGACAGCGCAGTAGTGAAAGAATATAGCTGCCAATCGGTGATGTAAGGATTCACCTCAAGCTGCCAAAGTATGACTGACGCTCCTCCTTCAGCGGACATGCAGCAGTCAACCAGAAGAGGGGTGTGTTCGTGGTAGACAACACAACCAACGGGTTTATGTTATATTGACTTGTCGGCGATGAGGAGCCAGTTTGAACTTTTGTCACTGCTCTTCCCAGTGTATTAGTCCCAAAGCAGGTGGCATTTGGTGCCGAAGGGAGGTTGGTGGTAGGTGGAAGTGACAATGGTTTGGTGTATATATTCGAGAGGAAGTCGGAGAAGTTACTGGAGACCCTTCATCACTCCAATGCTGGCCTGGTGCAGACGATAGCTGTAGGTGACGAATTACTTTGGAGATATGACACTGATTGTGTTTTAAGACACATGATATCAACGGGCACTGAATAGTCATCAGTGCATCACAAGCACTAGGGCGGGGCAAGGCTATAGTCAATTTATGGGTCTATGACTATGGCATGAAAAAGGAAAACCCCCACCTCCAAAAAAACCTGGTCTCTGTTGCATGTACTGACACGTGTATTCACAATCTTGATTCACATACAGTGTACTACCGGTACCTTTCACACCAGATTCACACTTGTCGAGTTAAGGCCTGTACACCACCTTTTGAGACAATTTGAGTACCCAGTATTAATATTAGGCATCTAAATAGTACTACCAATGCAATGATTTTGATTTTTTGCAATGTTGAACACGCTCGATGATTTAAAATATGCAGTGCTTGAATGTCACACAAATGCGGTACATTTCACAGTGTGACCAATGCATGACAAGCATAGATGTGTGACGCGTCTTTGACACGAGCTGTCACACATTGTCACACTTGAAACAAGTTTTGCACAGAATGCCTTTTGCAACACAGAATTTCAACCCAATCACTTCCTTCTGTAGAGATATTTGGTGCAGGATACATGGCTGATTAAAATGATACTACATATACAGGCAATTTTTGGTGAATTCTTTGCACTGGGCCTGGTACAAAAGTTGTTTCACAGCACAAATGTCCCATGTCTTCGACTGAATCTATCCCCAGCTTTTACACACTTCACATATCTCTTTGTAATTCTGTATTATACTTCTATACATGCTTCTTAATGCATGGCTCAAGTGGCAGGACAAAATAATAATAACTGACGAAGTTTTAGCACAAGTGTGAAATGTACCGGTGGTGTGAAAGGTACTGGTAGTACACTGTAAGTGCCTTATTGGTGACCTTGTGTTTCTTGATAACAAACTATGTGAACCATGTCAGTCGTCATTAACTTGGCAAAATAATTCACTGACTTATATCTTCAGGACATGATGGTGTTGTCAGCAGACCTTGCCCAGCGCATGAGACATACACAGGCGTTCTTCGCTAATGATCTTCAGGAAAGTGTGCACGAAGCAGTATTCGACAAAGTACTGCATGCACAAGAAGAAGTACGTGAAAAGAGCGATATCCTAATGTTGCATGAATTGGCGGAAAGGCTTATGGAGGTCATTCAAGAGGCAGGGGGAGATGTGGGTGAAGATGTACATCAAGAAAGCACCATTGGTGAAAAAGACGATATCGCTGCTGAAGCCGAAAGGGTATTTTATGAGACGCTGAGGGTATGAGGAGTTGATATTAGAGGTGATGATTCTGGGGGGGGGGGGGGGGGGGGGGGGTGGATGTTATTCTCATATAATGATAGACATGCTGTAAACTTACATTATGCACGGTGGAGGAGGTGAGATGAGCATATGACTGGACCCGCATGATCCAGAGGATTGCAGCACGGGGAGATAGAGGTGGTGTTCGATGAGCTTGATAATACAAACTATTGAGCTGGAAGCAATGAAAGTCAAGTGTACTTCCAGCGATCGGCCATATCGTTCTTTACCTAGGCTTGCACTTATGTGGGTGACCAATTGGTCATTCACATTGACACGCACGAAACTAGTTTTGTACATGGTCATCGATACACAATATATCAAATTATATACTTACTACACCCTACAATGGTAGTTCTAATTTTCTACAAATTTTATCACATTTTATTCTAATTTTTCTGATGGTTTTTCATAGGTAAGTGAGTTTATTATTCATATTTTGACTTATCATGGTCAATAAACTGTGTTAAAAAACCTTATCCTTTCATTAGTAAGCATATTCCCACACTTATGGGAATTTTTTGGTACATTTTCACACCTAATGAGCCATGTTCGTGTTAACATCTCAGCATCTTAACATCTGCACAGTCACCATCTGAGCAGTGTCATAATTTTACTTACATAATCTACACTTTGTTTGAATGATTAGTTATACTTTCTGGACAGTTCCGAAATAGTGGTAATCTTTAAGTGAACATCTGGACAATAAAGCAAATGAGTCATACTGAGTCACAATGAGTCATTTTTGCTATGACTCATACTGAGTCATGATTAGTCATCTTTCCATAATAAGTAACTGCGTAGCCACTCGTAGAGTAGTATATAAAGGGGCCTAGTTTCCCTCTGATAATAACAATTCCCACTTTTGAGACTATATGAATGAATGTGTGAAAATCTGAGTAAATATTAGCTTATTTCCTCTGTTCTTTTGGCACTGTTTCCCACAATGTACGGACCTTCTTTTAAGTCTTCCCTGAGCTATAACAAATTATACTAGCTAGTACACGGTTACTAGTCGTCTAGTATAGTTTTACTTCATTCTCTTTACAACACAGGAAATCACTTCTGTGGGGAGAATTCACGTATTTTTAACAATTGAGGACGACAAATAAGACTGATACTTTATTCAACAATATTAAGAGCTTGGCCACTTAAGACTACATCACGAGGGTGTATTCTTAATCTGGACTGCATCATTACTCATCGTGAGATCCCGAGCAGCAGAAGGTTGGTTTCGAAGCCACGTATTTGATTGATTCGATTGTATTTGCCTCTTAGTTTGATCTCCCCTGATTGTGAGAGTAAGGAGTATCCAAGAGATATTGCTTTGACTCACCACATATTGTCATCTGTCACCTGTAGTATCATAAGTGTCATACCAGTTATCAATTCGGCTGTTCCCAGTAAGTCTATATTCAGTCCATTTCTGAGTTTCCTAAGCACTGCATCAAGCCAGTTAATGGATACTGTTCCTGGGAATTCCCTTAGATTCTCACCCCTTTTAAGTCATTGGTAAATCTGCTCAAGAAGAAAAGCAATTTATATTTGCACCCCCACAAACGACCACGTTATCAACTGTTGGTATTTGTCTGAACTGTTGACCATGGAGGATAGTGAAAATTTGGTGATTTTATTGCCTTTCGCATCCTAGGAAGACAATGTGTGCACCTACGTATCGTCTAGCGGAGGGTATTCTTAAGGATTATCCAAATCCGAACATGTCTCTGCATCGTTGGGCATCAAGTTTACTAGGTGAACAGGCAAGCAGAGCTTGCCCATCCAAATGACAATGAACCATCAAAGGAGTAACTTTGGAACTTTGTGGGGTATGGAATGTAGACAGTGTAGTCTAGACAGGAATGATGTGCTCGATAGTACAAACTATCGAACTTGAAGATGTTAAAGAACAATGATCTCGACGGTACAAACCATCGAGCTTGAAAAAATCAGGGGCAAGATAATACTAACACAACCATACAAACAATTGTGTAGTAGTCACTAGTAAAGAAGAGTAGTTGGAACTTTGACGAAATTTGAGATGACACGACAAACAGCTACAAATAATCTTATGTCAGCATCCAGTCATTTTGAGACTAAGTCACCCACCTATGAGACCATCGGAAAAAGGGACCTTAATGTAAGGTGTAGACAGCTCGATAGTTTGTACTATCGAACTCGAAGAGAGTATAGAATGATGAGCTCGACGGCACAAACCATCGAGCTTGAAAAAGTGAGACAACACAACCATAGAAATGGTTGTGTAGTGGTAGCTAGGAAAGGAGTAGTTAGGACTTTGGCGAAACTTGAGATGGCACGACAAACAGCTACAAATAATCTTATGTCAGCATCCAGTCATTTTGAGACTAAGTTGCCTACCTATGAGACCGTCGGAAAAAGGGGCATTTGATAAATGTAGACAAGAATAATGAGTTCAATAGTTTGTACTATCGAACTCAGAGAGATTATAGAACAATGAGCTCAACAGTACAAACCATCGAGCTCGAAAAAGTGAGATAACACAACTGTACAAACGGTTGTGTAGTGGTAGCTAGGAAAGGAGTAGTTAGACTTTGGCAAAACTTGAGATGGCGCGACAAATAGTCACAAATAATCTTATGTCAGCATCCAGTCATTTTGAGACAAAGTCACCCACCTATGAGACGTCGGAAAGAGGGGCGTTTAATAAATGTAGACAAGAATAATGAGTTCAATAGTTTGTACTATCGAACTCGAAGAAATTGTAGAACAATGAGCTCGACGGTACAAACCATCGAGCTTGAAGGAATATTGAATGGGAACGATGATCTCGACAGTACAAACTGTTGAGTTCATCTATGATGAAAGTTGAAAGTGAAGGACTTGGTCTCAAAAATGATTGGAATGATGACATAAGATTAGAGGACTATTTGGCACACCCCTGTGGGCGACTCAGTCTCAAATGGAATGATGACATAAGATTATTTGTGACTATTTGTCGTGCATCTCAAATTTCGCCAAAGTCCTTAACTACTCCTTTACTACTAGCTGCTACCACTACACAACTGTTTGTATGGTTGTGTTAGTATTATCTTACCCCTGATTTTTTCGAGCTTGACGGTTTGTACCGTCAAGCTCATCGTTCTACAATCTCTCTTCAAGTTTGATAGTACAAACTATCAAACTCATTATTCTTGCCTACATTTATTAAATGCCCCTTTTTCCGATGTCTCATAGGTGGGTGACTTTGTCTCAAAATGACTGGATGCTGATGTAAGATTATTTGTGACTATGTATTTGTCGCGCCATCTCAAGTTTCACCAAGTCTAACTACTCCTTTCCTAGCTACCACTACACAACCGTTTGTACAGTTGTGTTAGTATTAACTTACCCCTAATTTTTTCAAGCTCGATGGTTTTGTACCGTCGAGATCATTGTTCTTTAACATCTTCAAGTTCGATAGTTTGTACTATCGAGCACATCATTCCTGTCTAGACTACACTGTCTACATTCCATACCCCACAAAGTTCCAAAGTTACTCCTTTGATGGTTCATTGTCATTTGGATGGGCAAGCTCTGCTTGCCTGTTCACCTAGTAAACTTGATGCCCAACGATGCAGAGACATGTTCGGATTTGGATAATCCTTAAGAATACCCCCCGCTAGACCATACGTAGGTGCACACGTGAACGACCAATTGGTCACGCACATAAGTGAAAGCCTAGGTAAAGAACGATATGGCCAATCGCAGAAAGTACACTTGACTTTCATCACTTCCAGCTCGATAGTTTGTACTATCGAGCTCATCTTTCCCATCATCCCCCCCTCGGTAGTACTGCAGTCCAAGTCTACGCTCCAAACGATACGACTGGATTGTGCTCCTATTGCTCTTGTCCAAATAGGCCCCCACCCAATGACCTTTTGCATTACTACTTCATGGTACCGGAATTCTGTTGCTTCTGTTGGATTGTGGTATGTATTGTCCTATCGCCCCTTGTCCTGCATCTGAATAGTGTCCGTATAGGCAATCACCTTGTACTTCGTTATTAGCAGTTATCTCTGATACTTTGTTTATGAGTTGCTTCATTTTTCCCTTGTTTTTTTTTTCCTCTCATTTAAGTCCTGCTATACTAGGATCTACTTAATTACAATCACCCAGTCACCTACATCCCCCATTCTTAATGCCCACAGCCTGTGCAATGCTCAAACGATGCGTGTGCAAGGAGTGCATTGGCAAAGGCGGATATGACAAGAAAGGCGCACCAAAAGGAGTGCTCATGGCTGAATGTTCACTCGCGTCTCATATCCTGTGTGTACAAGCAGAACATGCCGCAGATAGCAGTGAGATCGTTGATGTTGATTCTGTTGCCACCGATCTTTCCGCATGCACCATCACAGAGAACACATCATCAGTCGCCGCCATCACCCACGATCTTGATCACTTGACCCCTTGCCACAGATATACCGGTCAATATTCCTTTGAGCTCAACAGTTTGTACTGGCGAGCTTGTTGCCGGCCAAGTACCTATTGCCAATGATCTAAATTGTTTGTCCCTTACCACACATACTTCCAAATGTGACACAGTACCTGTCCCGAAAAAAGGATGCAATCGGCATACCGCGAAGGCATTGGTTATCCTTGATAACATTGAATCCTGGATCCAACAGTGCTTTCGCTTGTTACTGCACTCTGGTAGCATTGATCAGGTTGATCATGAGCTACATTTACTTCGTAAAGCTGTGCAAAATGCAGTCAACAGACCGACATCGTCATTGCACAAAAGAAGGCGATCGAATCGCAGATAGATGTATTGGCAGCCCAGTTGAACAGTCACAAGCCACCCGATGATGGACCCGTCAAGATCAATACCTGTAAGCAAGCATGTGGATCATCATGTCATCCTTTACTTATCATTCAATAGATACCCTTCCACAAGCTCCAATTGATAATTCAGACGAAATAACCCAAATTGTCCTCTTCCTTTGTGTCGCATGCAGAGTCATTATGGGGGTCAGTAGGAGTAGTTGCGATCTAATCATGAAGATCATTTCCATGATTCTGTTTCTTGCATTCTGGAGGTCAGATAACGGCCGTTGCTCCTCCCACACAAATATCCTGAAGCAGATCCCAATGACCTCAGAAAGCACTGAGGCCAGATTCCATCTCAATGGAAAAACCGTTGTGACAATCATATTGGCACTAGGCATGTATACCTGCATAAGCCTTCAATAGGTGGACCAAAGTTATCCATCATATTATTCACTACTCCCCTATCAGCAGTCTTCACTTGCCTCAGCCATAACCCTTGTCCAACGCTATTCTGCACTTTCCCGCACTATGCGCGCACATTCCCGCAGCGCTATTCACACTCCCGCGACTCATCCGACGCTATTCCCGCGCTTATAGCACTATCAGAACTACCAGCAATGTGTCTATAGGAGCATTAGTGCATGTCCGCTCTATCTAGCGCTTGTTCCCGCGCCTAGCGCTAGTCCAGCGCGCTGTTCTCGCGCTCTAGGAATCACCTGAAATGTCGGAATCCATCCATGGTCCATCCTACCTCATTGGTATGTAATTTGCCTTGCCTCGAGTTTGTAAAAAGTGCTACAGTCTTATTACATGTATATCCTATCCCTTCCGAGTCCGAGATGGTATAGTTTACTAGTATAAGAAGCCTATGGTGACTACTTCGACATTACTTCCCTTCGACTGTATTTCCTTCCCTTAGGTTTTACTTAGAAGTAGTCACCCCTTTAGTTGCGCTCTATGGCCCCTATTTGACTTTCCTTACTCTTGCAATCAATACCTCTGATCTCACTCACTATCCATTACCCTCCTTTGACTCAGTGTCCGCTTTCTTGACTTCCGCTCTTTCCCGCGCATTAGCGCTCTTTCAGGTCTTTTGATCTTGAGTTGTCCTTAGTAGCTTTTCCCTCGGGTCGAACGTTCTTGCTTTATTGTTTGCAAGTATAGCAGCATAGGCAGAGCTTAGACATATACTGGCTTAGTACCTTAACAAGTGCCTAGTCAGGTTGTGTTTTTCACACCGTCCCATTGTGTTAGTGGGGTCTGGCTCATTCTGAGCCAGGGGTCTGCCTGAGGTGCCAGGGGTCTTGCCCGGGCCTCAAGGCACTTAGGTACATATATCGAGAGCATGTCCTGTAGCTAGTCCTTACCCTATCCATCACCATTTGTCCTTCGTGTTTGGTTCAAGTCTGTCGCCTCTTGTCTCGTAGGCACCGTTCCACCTGGTGACTAGAGTGAGATTCTCACTCTGTCGCACTCCATCTCAGACCCAGGTGTCCTACTTGCAGCCCGGTTTTTCCTGACAAGCTGCTTGAGGTCGCAAAGTCATCTCGGGGTTTCGATTTTCTCATTTTCTGAGTCTAGGTCTTAGGTTTCTCTTTTCCACAGGTCCCCTTGCAGCTCGGTGTGACAATATAGTTTTCTCTGGGCTGATATTCCCCCTGTTTACTTACCTTCACTTACCCACTTTCCTTAGTTTATGTTCGCATTTTTACTGCTTACATAATCATGTCTCCCTTTCACCACTGTCAGTACCAGTCTGAATCACAGTCTTTTGCTTGAGGATATTTCTACTCTCTGAGCTCTGAGTCTAGTACAGAAACCCTTTAGGGTTGAATAGCAGCTAGGCATAGCAATTTTGACCCAACATTTGAAGAGTACTTTACAGATTTCTCTTCTTGTTGTGTTTCCCACATCAGTCTGTCCGTCACTCCTTGTGGGTCTCAGCGCACGTTCTCTTCTGTAATGATAGTTTCCCGTCTTTTCTGTAACCAGTACTTGTCCCATTTGACTCACACCATCTTCAACTTCCCTGCTGCACGCACTCATTTGTCCACACTCGTCTCCCAGCAGCAACACACCTGTTGTTGGCACCTGCCACATCAGAGTCGGGCAAATGTTCCTCCCCCACGTGTTCTTGCAGCCTGTGCCCCATGCACCTACCACGTGCACTCTGCACTGTTCGCACACGAACGTCCCAACACGCAGCCTCCTTGCGTCTCACTCCCTCATGTCGACTTGTTTGGCTCCCACAATCCCAATCCCCCATTGCCTTCCCTGTCTTGATGCCATCCTTGCCCCGATGCCATCTTCATCTCGATGCTGTCCTCATCTTGAAGCTGTCCTCATCTAGATGCCATTCCATTTGTCACCCTCAGCGCTTTCCAAACGCCGTCTTTGTGTGTTCTCGTGACTCATTCCCCCGCACCATCCACATGCACCCTGCGCTATTCCCATCTGTTCCTCCCAACACGCCATCTCCATTCAGCTCCTGCCAGTATCGACGTTCCCGCTACTCTCATGCGTTCTTCCACCTCCCGTGTCATCCAGTACTATGCTTCGCCATCCCACCACCCACACCTTCATGCAGCCCCACGACTTCCTTCACGCATCCCACACCTCATGCTCACCTGCACTCACACTCACACACAATCATGATTCGCTTCACATTGTCCCCATGACCACCACCATACTACTCTGGCATCATTGACCCATCGACAAACACCGCTGCCACATTACCACTCGAACGCCCAGCAACCAACACCGACCCACATCGACCATTGTCGATGCGGTGGCAACCAATTGCAAGGAGAATGAGAGCAGTTGGGAGGGAATGGGAGAAGAAGAGAGAGAGCAGGAGCAGGAACCATCAGTGAGTGCCTACACACTAGTCCACACCTTCGCGTCCTTGTTTTTTTCCCTTTCCATCAGCATTTACAACCCCTTCTTACTTCACACATCTCACAATACTAACATTCTTGTTACATGCTCTTTCTTGTTTCGACGTCCATATTCCGTTTACTACCATCGCTCTTAATTTGTGCGCATCATGCCTGTTTCGTTTTCGTACCTTAGTTTCCATTACCTTTGTGTTGTTTACATTCGCGTTCCCATTCTCGACTCGCTGATTTCGCACTATGCCATCCTACAGACCACAGTACACATTCTCACACGACTCCCCACCATCATGCTCACCATGCATGGACTCGTTCGTTCCCCGCACCCACTCTGTCGTCACCTATCGACTTGTGCCCTCTTCATTACCATCCATTTCGCTGGCCTCTTCAGTCACAACCCAGGAGGGTCTTATTTTAGGGGGGGGGTATTTGTGTTAGTGGGGTCTGGCTCATTCTGAGCCAGGGGTCTTGCCCGGGCCTCGAGGCACTTAGGTACATATATCGAGAGCATGTCCTGTAGCTAGTCCTTACCCTATCCATCACCGTTTGTCCTTCATGTTTGGTTCAAGTCCGTCACCTCTTGTCTCGTAGGCAACCATTCCACCGTATGCTGTCTGCAGCTGCCATTGTACCTATGCACCGACTTATGCACCAGGCTCGACAACCCCAGTATATCCTGAACGGTGCACGCATTGTCTTATGCCCACAAGCAAATGTGGCGAGGCTTTGCTTGTTGGTGCTGATGGAGAATTGCAGCCCAGGAAGATTTTCCTGTACCATGATTTCAAAGATTATCTGTTCGGTCTCCTCTCTTGCAGAGATACTGAGGCCGTGATGGATCAGGCATGCGACGATCTCATGGACTCCATCAATTCCCCTCATCCATCCTTCGTCAAGACCCCCTTTGAAGCTCAATTTCTCCGTCAGTTCAGTGGTCCTCAGCCAGGCTCACTTTTGTTGATAGAGGAGAGGAAGGACACTATGTCTTCACTCTTCATGTGGATTTTTTCAATCCTGAAGGTCTGAATATCCACAGAGCTAGTACATCATGCGGAATCATCTCCATGGTGTGCTTAAATTTACCGTTGGATATCAGATACAAGCCGGAGAATATGTATATTGTGGGTATCATCCCAGGTCCGAAGCAGCCATCACTGGAAAACCTCAACCACTACATCCGACCACTCATCAATGATTTGGTAGATGCATGGCAATGCGGTATTAAGTTCTCCAATACTGCCTGTTACCCCCCACAGCTGACTTACTCGTAGTGCTGTCGCCGTGGTTGTTTGTGACCTTCCTGCCACTCGTCATATTGCTTCTATGGCTGGAGTCGGCAGTCACTTCTACTGCAGTGTGTGCAATTGTTATCACAAGTCTACTTGTGGAAGAGTAGACTTCGAGAAGTGGGAACCTCATGACAGAGAAAAACTGCGAGAATATGCTGAGCAGTGGAGAGACGCCGCTACATCCTCTGAACGTGAAAGACTTTTCAAGGCTCACGGCATGCGCTATTCCGAACTCTGGCGTTTACCATACTGGGACTGCTCCCAGCAACTTGTCGTTGATCCAATGCACTGCATATTGGAAGGCTTGGTCCAACACCACACCCAAAAGCTTCTCAGTCTAACCTCAGAGTCAATCACATCGACATCGTCCTCCCCAGCATTTGCATGTGATTTTGGCGAAGTTCTTCCCAGGACAATGATGGCCAAGGAGTTAACTCAGATATCTGCGATTTGCTCCCTCCTCGTATCTCATATAGATTCTGGCAATGATAAGCAAGTGGAGGAATGCTTTAACAAGCTGAAAAGCTCTCTGTCTCACAAAAATTCAGGACCATTGAGGTTTGCCTGCAATTCTTTGCATTGTATGCCCCAGAAAGTTGGCAGAACGCTGAAGATTGACTGCATCAAGGCTCTTGTTAATTGGGTAAGCTCTTCACCATGATGTTTCTTGCCTTCAGTTTTTTTAACACATAGTTCACAGCATCACAGACAACCTTTAGCTGCCCCTCAAAAAGTTCGTTCGTTCAAGACAGCAGAAGTACTTGAATGAATCCATAACGTCATCCATGACATGACCACCCCAACTTGGCTTGGTTCAGTCCCCAAGAATTTTGGTGAGGCATCTGCTGGGACAATTAAGGCTGATGAGTGGTGATCCCTTATCACAATTCACCTTCCCATCACCCTCGTGAGCTTGTGGGGAGCTGGTACCCTCGCATTCCTCTGACAAAATTGCTGTTCGTCTCAGAACTATCCTTAATCACACTATGTCATTAGTCTGTGCAGTGTATCTTGCTTGTGTGAGAACAATGACAGAAAGAAGGGATCAAGCCTATCGCTCACATATCACCCGCTTATGCGGGAAGTTGCAGAACATTCATCCTGCATTCTCTCTGCGACTGAATCACCATGCATCTTTCCACATATATGATTATCCATTGCTATTTGGGCCCACTCACTCGTGGTGGTGTTTTCCTTTCAAATGTCTGATTGGAATCATACAATGCATTCCTATCAATCACAAATTTGGTATGTCCTCATCAAAACACGAATGAGAAAGTTGGACTTATATTATTTTAGGGGAGCTTGAAGATATAATGCTTCTTTCATATATCAAGGCTGCAAGACTTCGCCATTGGCTCGCCCGAACAGACTGTCCGCCTGCTATTCAAGAGTGTGGAGTCTTGTTTGATCGAGTGTTTAACAAAACACTACAAATCCTATCCCACGAGCTTGCCGAAGATCCCATGAATGATACCATCCAGGTTGCCAACTGTGCAGCGACTAGTGCGGTGCCTGAAGACCTATATACCCTCATCAGACGATGAACGGCAGTATTACATGCTACACTGTAGTTCGACGGTGTTATCTACAGCAAGGCATCTACACACTTAGGCAACAGCCAAATTTTCTTCTATCCTCGCAGAGATCGGTCGTTAACCCCTGTCCCCACTAGTATCAAATACATCTATAGTATGCTGACAGGAGAGCTATTGTTTGCTGTACAGCGACATCTCCCACTAGATCATGACCACCATACCATTGATCCCTTCTCAATGTATCCTGATTTTCCAGCAAAATTGTATTCGATGGACCTTGAAAATCGCCTTGAAAATGCCAAGGTGTCATGGGTCGTCAGTCACTTTGCGCGATGGAGGGTTTCTGACCGTCACGCAGTGATTCTATCCTTATCTCGCAACTGAAGTTACCTAACACTACTATTGATATTCCTCCTGACTCGACTTGTACTTGTACTGTCATAGGTTTCAGTCTGTACATAAATATATTGAATCTTTTGCATCCTTGCGGTGGGTCAGTGGGCGAAGGGTGGGCGATGATTGGGTGATATATTTAATCTGAAGACAACACTTGAAGTTTCGTCATCACATTTTATTGCCACTGTGAACCTGAAATTTTCGGGAGGGTCTAATTGTTTGATGCAACTTAACACATTGACCATGTTCCAAACTTCAAGTAATTGTCCCAAGTTAAATGACATAATAAAACTTTAAATTCAAGCAGATGCTGAAAATCTGGCTATACTATACCTCACGGCTGAGTTGTCACCCCCACAAGTCGTCAGGTCACGCTTTTGTCACAGCAGCTCACTGCTGCCGCTTTCAGAGTCCACTTGGCAATGCCTAAGAAATTTGTGGTCAAGTTACAGGTCAAAATTTTTGGTTGGTGTGATGTGGAATATAGTATGGGGCATGGCTGTTATTATAATGGCTGTATGGTGCAGGATATGCTACATGAGAATGAGAACTATGTGGTCCGTGATGATGAGGCAAATGAAATTGATGCTGGTGTTAATAATGTAGAAAATTGCCGAGATGCTGGTACAAATATTGCTGTGAGTTGGATGTACAGGAGGATTGCAATAAGGTATTTCATAGCATAGATCAGGACTATTCAAGTAAGAACCATTCGGATGTTCACAAGAAGAACAATGAGAGCTATTGGCAGGCAGTGCCAGAACAGGTGGAGTTTCACTTTCGACAGGTGCGGCGCTGATGGCAGTCGGGTTGTCAGTGTTTGATGCGGTGTTTCTCACGCATGTTCTCCCATTGCCAAACAGTCCGCTGCTCATATACATAGGCCGCCTGTGGGATCACTGGCAGTCTGGCACGCGACTCTCGTGATTTGCCTTTTGGGCAGCTATTTCATTGAGCCATGTCCAAGTTGTCGGCTCACTGACAAGTCGTCACAGCCAGTGGTAGTATTGCTTTAGAACTCCGCTATGGCAGCGCTCGGCTGGCTGTCACCAGCGTGATTTTGATGGCTTTCAATGAACTTCACCATTTCTCAACAAAAATTGATTGTTCAACCTCGCAATGAAAGGTGCATGATAGAAACATCAATTTAAGTTGTAAATTGTGTGTGGAAGTAAGAATTGACTGAGATATTTAGGTCGTGACGACTTGTGGGGGGTGACGACTCAGCCGTGAGGTATAGTATTTCTTATTTTCGGTGACGTATGGGCAGTGTAAAAATAGCTGCCAAAGCTTAATATTTTGGATTTTGCACAAAACACTGATAAAATTTGAAGTTATGTACCCATATTTATGTCGGTTTAGATTTCAAAAATGTTCTTTGCATTCTGGACAACATTAAAAAACTGTCTTAAATATCTCTAGCCCCGCTGTGTCTCACCAGACAAAATCCCGGAAAATTTGTAATTTTTATCCGAAGTTATTCCGAACGTAATTACATTTGTCGAATGCTAGAAATTTGCCATCAGGAATTTGCCGGTGAGTCGGCGGTGACCTACATTTAGGGGTCCTAGAGACGAGATTTCTGCACCATTACGTACTAATCATGAAAAACACAGCCTGGGCACGCTACTTACCTTGCTACCTTCTTCCCGCTCAACACGGTACCTCCTACGATGGATTTTGGTAAGTTTTCCCTCCGCGCACCACACTATGACTCGCACTAACCTCGCCTCTAAGCACATCCCTCATCTCCTAGCGGCTCATGGATCCATCTATGCAATGTCGTAGAATATAGCGGCATTTTCGATTCTGAATATCGCCAGCCCCACTTACGGTGCATGAAAAACACACGTGTTGCCCTTCTGAAGAGCATAACACAAGTCCTTGACCAACGTGATCGGACGAACATTTGGCTCAACGGTCTCGCCGGTGTTGGAAAAACGTCTATCGCGTTCACCATAGCTGAGGAGATGAAAGAAGCGGAGAGGCTTGCTGCCACTTTCTTCTTCTCACACAAACATGCACAAAAAGCTGTCGCCATCATTCCTACCATCGCATACCAGCTGGCACTGGCTTTCCCGCGCATTCGAGAGGATATTATGAAAGCGATCGAGAACGACGACAGTCTCCTATCACCTGGAAAATCTCACGCGGATCAGATGCGAGAGCTCGTCATAAAGCCACTCAAGATATTGAGATTCCGCGAACAGCCTTATACTATCATTATCGATGCTCTCGACGAATGTTTCTCCTCTGAAGAAGCGGCAAGGCTGGTCACACTGTTGACAGACGCTCTCGCAGGTCCAGACCTGCCATTCATCCACGTAATATTCACAAGCCGCCCTGAGGCGCATATCCGCGCTGCCATACCCTCCGGTGTCCACGAGATTCGCCTTACCACTCGTGATGAAGACACCATACAGGATGTCCGTTACTTTCTGCGAGCATCACTGGACGAAACACGGACAAGTCGTCCTACTGTTTTCGGTCAGCCTCCCTTCCCCTGGCCATCGGAGGATGAATTCGAGACGTTGGTCTTTAAGGCAGGCGGTCTGTTTGTTTACGCTGCCATGGCCATGAATTTCACATCCTCCGTTGGCCATCATCCACAGGAGAGACTAGAACTCTTACTACGTGAGAAGTCGACTGTCGGTGCTGACATCGATCAGCTTTATCGGCAGATCATTGCAACCTCGGAGGATCCACTCACGCACTGCCGGATGTTGGCGTCTATCATTCATCTGAGGAGACCGTTGAAACTCGCAGAACTCCAAGAACTCTTTTACGCAGATAAAAGGAGCTTGGTTATGATGCTTGAAGCATTTTCACCCGTCATCTTGAATGATGGGGTCGAAAATGTCGAAATTTATCACGCATCACTCCGCGACTTTATGAGCGACCCTCTACGCTCGAAGCAATATCACGTAGATGCTGCACACACTGATGAGCACCTTGCATGCTGCTGCCTTGATTTCATTACACGTCAGGATTCCAATCGGACTCGTGCCATTCTAGTGTCGCCATCGTCTTATCCATATCCATATCAGATGTGGCATATCCATCTTTATCCTGCCTATCCTAGCAGCAAACTTCGAAAACTGCTGGCCCTGTTTACAGACACAACTCTGCGAGATTGGCTAAAGATACCAAACCCTAAGGACTCCAACTTTACACACAGTGTCCGGGACGCAAGGAGCTGTTGTTTATCCTTGGTAATTATTTTGAACATGTTGAATTAGTAGGGACGTGTACTAACCATGAATTGCTCAGAAATGGATCAGGGGTCCGTCAGACATTGTGGTTGCATGGCGTCTTCATAAAGCTGAGAAGGAGTTTGCAAAGCTAGCCGACACTATGTAACTTAGTCAAGACTGTTGTCCGCTTACTTACTTGGGACGACCTTGTTGGCTTCTTTCCACTCTATGACCACAACTATCTTTACCAGTTCTCAGACTCGTTATGTAGAAGTTGTTATTGTGTTGATTAATTATTTGAATTCATTTGTTTTTGTGCTATTTAATGTGCTATTATCTGAGTCACTACAGTGCGCTATATAGTTGCTCGGAGTTGCTGGTAGCTGTATGTAGTAGTACTCCTATGCAGTGTTGTTACTAACCCGTTAAATCAGTTATAACTTAACCCGGCTATAACCGGTTAAGAGGTTAGTTAAATGGATCTGTGATTTGGGAGGGTTAGTAGGGTTAGTGTACTAGGAGTTAATTGGGTTAATTGGGGGTCACCAAACTTTTAATCGTTATCATCAATCTCTCCGATTCTCTCTGTGCCAGCGTCCTGGGACTGTATTACCTCTCCAAGCCGCTCCGATGGGTAGGGAGAAGTCCTGGATGTGGGATCATTTTCATCAGGGGACTGTGAAGGTTGACAAAGTGCACTGGCAAGCATGCTGTAAATATTGTGTCAATGTGCAGGCTAAAGATCTCGCAAATGCTGATCAACAGGCTGTTGCACATGGAATACTGCAGGCTGTCAGAACTTTCAATGTCCCTTATATATTGCCGGAAAGGGTCGAAATCATGGCAAAAGGAATACATATTGGGGTTAGGACAAGTAGTTGAGGTTGAGGATGACATCTCAGGCAGTTCAGATTCAGAAAGTAGCAGGCAGCAACAAATTCGTTGCTTCTTCAGTCAGAAGAGATTAGGGGAGCTCACACCTGGGAGCTTACGGTTTATGCTTATCCATGCTTATGCTTACACCCCCCAATACTATCTGATTTGTACATGGGTATAAAACAAACCAAAATACATTACTGCGCTGTCGCGTCCAGTATATTCGGTGAGCGCCGTGAACGCCAATGTCGAGCACTCTGCCAGTGGATTATTGATCATCTGAGTCTCGTTAGCATCATGAGAAAGAAGGACCTTCCACCCCCTCCTATTCCCGATGTCCACTGGTCCGTGGATATGACATGGAACTTGCTGTCAGAGGTCAAGAAAGACGAGAACAGGCTTGTTTTACTGGGGAAGCGGGACAAGAAGGAAGTAAGTAATATTCACTTTCGGATCTCCTCAGCGCTGTCTCAGGATATTCTGGACAAGGTAAAGCAGCGCATCGTCTCCTGACTGGGATGAATTTGACGAAGATGATTCCTAAGTCCCCTGGCTGTATACCCTTCTAATTTTTCAACGCTCTTCAATACACTCGTTCACCATGTGACTCCTTTTACCACTTGCTTTTATCACTCGCTTTACACTTGCTTTATGCTTTTATGGTCAATTTTAATGCTAGTTCACAGATGTTTAGATTTAGTTTAATTAGTTACATCTGTTGAAATGCTAGTAGTTCTTTGACCAGGAGCACCGCAGCCTCTTCGGGGGATAATTCTGGATTTGCCAGGTTACGGAGAACCATTGTCAACATATATGCATGTAGATACTGCTCAGTGCTCATGGAGAGAAATTTGTGCCATCTTTGCTTGCAAGTTGTTAATTGATGACAAGCAGTCACAACTTGGTACTGTGTATTATATAATCTGCGTCTGCACAAACTGGGGGGTTGTAAGCATAAGCACGGATAAGCATAAACCGTGAGCTCCCAGGTGTGAGCTCCCCTAATGTTTTGCATCCGCGACATTTTCAATTGGTCTGTTGAGGTTGGATGGGTCGATTTTTGGTTCCAGGGTGTGAAAAACATGGAGAGTGAGGCTTTATTCTACGAGCTAATGTCACGCCTGCCCGAGGATGAAAAAAGTACTAGTAGGAATGTCCCAGGGGAGTCATCAGGCATGGGAAATAGTCCATCGAGTTCAATCGTTATTGACGACTCAGAGTAGCTAGCACTTTGAAGTAATTAACTGTTTTTAACCCCATTAACCCCAGTTATTTCGTGGTTAATTCAAATCAAGACGCACCAGTTATAACCTATTCAGTTATACCCGGGTTAATAACAGCACTGCTCCTATGGACTACAATCTACTACAGTAGTACCTGGTAGCGCTACATAGCACTATGTAGTACTACATAGTTACTGCGGTTGCTATATAGAGGGCAGGTAGCTACCGAGCTACATGGACTACCCTGACTATGTAGTACTATGTAGTCAACTGTCTTTTCCTGATGTGTTGTACTGTACTACAACGAACACAATGAACTACATGTTTCGTCCTACTTACCCTGAGTTCTCCGATTTTAGCTCATTTTGAATGTACTCAGTGCAATGGGAACTTGAACAACCACAGATGACCGCAACATCGATGTCCTTCTGTTCAGCTTCTCAGTCCGCTATGATGAGTGCAAAGCACCGACGCTATACACTTCAACACAATCCACGGCACACGCGCGTAAGTTAACCGCATCTCTGTTAAAATCGGTATGCCTTTTCTGTTGTTACGTGCTCTCACAAACCAGCACCAACATCATGCATCATGAGTTGCGCAGTCAGCTCTTCAATAAGTCGTTCGCTCGGACAACCCTCTCCCACTGGATGCTGGGTAGAGACTATATAGAACAAAATACGATCCAATGTACTTATCACATGCAGGTTATATATCTGAAATCTCCACAAAGGACCAATCACTAAAACACGATCATTGCAGTACTAAGGTCTGCAAGTGTTGATTTAATGGGTGCGAGGAACGGAAAGGGCTTTGACTCACTCGTCTTGGCACTTTTGCCAGTGTCGTCCATGTGCCATGCGGCTCAAATTAAGCTCAGGACCTCCTCTGGGTATCACTAATGCAGTTGCAGGGTTATAAAATAGGTGTCGAGAAGCGGGCGGTACCCAAAATAAGAGCCGATGTTTGGGTCCCACTACCTATCCACTGTCACTATTCAGGAAAAAAGGGGTCGAACTGTGGCTGTCATGGGATGCTTCCTCCGTTAACTCAGAGGTATTGCGCAGTGCATGGCTGGAGTTGGACGAGAAGGAAATGAAGTGATTGTTCCAAGTGTTCGATTTCATGGTGGTGGTGGTCTCGATTGTGCGGTGTTCATCTGAGAATGTTGAAAGATCTGTCACTGCATCCCACAGTCGAACAGTGTTATCCGAAGAACTAGTAATGATGCGAGTACCGTCCGGCGAGAACGATACCGAGGTAACTGAATCAGCGTGCCCCCGCAAGGGCTTACCGAGTGGCCGGCCTGTCCCTGCATCCCACAGCTGAACAGTCTTATTGTCCGAACCAGTGACGATGCGAGCGCCGTCCGGCGAGAACGAGACCGAAGTAACTGAACTAGTGTGCCCCCACAAGGGCTCACCGAGTGGCTGCCCTGTCCCTGCATCCCACAGCCGAACAGTCTTATTGTCCGAACCAGTGACAATGCGAGTGCCGTCCGGCGAGAACGAGACCGAGTTGACATAATGAGTGTGCCCTCGCAAGGGCTCACCGAGTGACTGCCCCGACCATGCCTCCCACAACCGAGCCGTGTTATCCCTTGAACAAGTGACGATGCGAGTGCCGTCCAGCGAGAACGAGACCGAGGTAACTGAATCGGTGTGCCCCCGCAAGGGCTCACCGAGAGGCTGGCCTGTCCCTGCATCCCACAATCGAATAGTGTTATCCCTTGAACCACTGACGATGCGAGTGCCGTCTGGTGAGAATGAGACCGAGGTAACTGAATCGGTGTGCCCCCGCAAGGGCTCACCGAGTGGCTGGCCTGTCCCTGCATCCCACAGCCGAATAGTGTTATCCCTTGAACCAGTAACGATGCGAGTGTCGTCTGGTGAGAATGAGACCGATGTAACTGAATCAATGTGCCCCCGCAAGGGCTCACCGAGTGGCTTCCCCGTCCCTGCATCCCACAGCCTAACAGTCTTATCTCTTGAACCAGTGACGATGTGAGTGCCGTCTGGCGAGAATGAGGCCGAGGCAACTGAATCGGTGTGCCCCCCGCAAGGGCTTACTGATTGGCTGCCCCGTCGTAGCATCCCACATCTGAACAGTCTTATCCCAAGAACCAGTGATGATGCAAGTGCCGTCCGGCGAAAATGAGACCGAAATAACTGAAGAAGTGTGCCCCCGTAAGGGCTCACCAACTGGCTCCCCAGTCCCTGCATCCCACAGCCGAACAGTGTGATCGTCCGAACTAGTGACAATGCGAGTGCCATCAGGCGAGAACGAGACCGAGTTGACATAATGAGTGTGCCCCCGCAAGGGCTCACCGAGTGGCTCCCCCGTCCCTGCATCCCACAGCCGAACAGTCTTATCCCTTGAACTAGTGACGATGCGAGTGCCGTCTGGCGAGAATGAGACCGATGTAACTGATTCAGTGTGCCCCCGCAAGGGCTCCCCAACTGACTCCCCAGTCCTTGCATCCCACAGCCGAACAGTGTGATCGTCCGAACCAGTGAGAATGCGAGTGCCATCAGGTGAGAACGAGACCGAGGTAACTGAACTAGTATGCCCCCGCAAGGGCTCACCGAGTGGCTGACCTGTCCCTGCATCCCACAATCGAATAGTGTTATCCCTTGAACCACTGACGATGCGAGTGCCGTCTGGCGAGAATGAGACCGAGGTAACTGAATCAGTGTGCCCCCGCAAGGGCTCACCAAGTGGCTGCTCTGTCCCTGCGTCCCACAGCCGAACAGTCTTATCCCTTGAGCCAGTGACGATGCGAGTGCCGTCTGGCGAGAATGAGACCGATGTAACTGAATCAATGTGCCCCCGCAAGGGCTCACCAAGTGGCTCCCCCGTCGCAGCATCCCACAGCCGAACAGTCTTATCCACCGAACCAGTGGCGATGCGAGTGCCGTCCGGCGAGAATGAGACCGATGTGACACAAGCAGTGTGTCCCCTGAGCACGACCAGAACACCTGGCCAGTTCATATTACGTCCGGATGCCACACGAAGAATATTCGGAAACCGTGCAGAAAGCTTTGTAGATAGCGGAGAGTTGACAGGCGAGAACGGGAGTGCTGACACATACAGATGTGGCGTGCTGTGTAAAATAACGCCGCCAAAGACTTGAATAAACCTCTGTACGTCCATTGCAGTCGACGAGACATCTTTGAATTTGGGATGACCCTGTGGTTGCGCATGAGCGCTTTATCTGGCACTTAGTAGCAATGTACTAACCATTAGCCATTGGGGAATGAGCGGAAGGGCAGCAGCCGCACCGCTGAGCGCATTGATCAGGGCGAGCAACTCGAGCCAGAAAAACAGGCGCTCGTGGTCGAACAACAATTTCACTTCTTTCGCGAGCTCCTTGTTGAAGACTGTGCTTAGTACATGCGACGTCCAAAATCGAGATGAATATGACAAATGTGGGGAGATGCATTTTTGGACTCGTTCTTGTAGTCCGGGATCTTCGCGATTAGACAGATACGACGACTTTAAATCACAGATATTGAATCGAAGACTGTGTTCCATCACTCGAAGTGGCGCGAATGCAAGGTCGCATTGCGCCTTTGACAGGTCGATGAAAAACTCTCCACTGGATGATCTGTCCGTCAAGAAGTCGCGGAAGGATGAATGAAGGGGTCGGATTGGGGAATCTGGGTTGGTGGTGCCGCTGAGGAGGGAGCCCATGCCTTTTACCACAAGCTCTACGTCGAAATTGTCCTTTTGCGTTGGAAAATGGCGCCTCATGGCGTTCAGGGAAGCTAAAGGAAGGGGTTCAGCTGTGCCTAGTATCTGTCCCATCACTGAGCGGAATCTCGCTAGTGCCATCGAACGCGATTCCTGAGAATGCGGGAGATGGGTAGATGTATCCTTGGGTATGATATCTGCTAAAATGAGGCGATACATGCCATGCAACAGCCCGACTCTTTCAGCAGGATTGGGTGATACCACAGCATGGTAGCAATCGATTGGAGATAGCCTCGCATTGGACCTTTTGATGTATCTACAGGCGAGACGCGCCCACTCGAAAAGTCCATCAGCTTTCTTAGCCAGGACTGTGAACTCTTTGTCCTGGAAATCCAGCCCTTCCAACTCCTTGGATACGTAAGCACGGATGTCGCGCTCTGCGATTGCTGTTGGAATATCATCCATCGACATCGGTCGAATATGCTGAACACCACGAAACTCGGCTTGGATATCATCAAGCGGGCGAGAGGTAACGATGAAGCGAAAGTTGTTTGAGAGATCTGTGATTTTGGTAACAGCAGGGTTTTGATGTTTGCCAGCTAGAATGCGGAGGAGGTCTTTCCGCGTCTCTACTCCACCGCTCTCATCCAGTGCATCGATCGTAATCACGATAGGTCCCATAGTTGCCCTAGATGACTTCCCCAGTGGTTCGATAAGAAGCTTCTGCCATTGCTGGGCGATATCCGTTGTATTCTTGAGCGAATTCACGGTCTGAACTGAATCTGCTAATGCTTGCCTCATCTCTGGATCACGGTCAGCCAGGTCGCGCGCGATCGTGGAAAAGATCTTTTCATGGCGACGATCTGCTTCTCGCTGGCGGTCAAAAGAGTAACACGAACCAAGCCCTCCCACGTCGTTGAACCACTTAGCAATGGTGTGGGCGATGGCCGATTTGCCCTTGCCTGCAGGGTCAGATAGCCACAGCACACGTGGAACGTTGTCCCCAGTGCTGTTGACCCATTCCGCAATCTGGGAAAGGAATTCCGTGCGCGTCCCTTGAAGGCATTGTTTCCTGGTATCTAGTCCCGCGCCCGCTGCATAAGTCATGCCGCTGAGAGATAGCATTTCTGCTGAAAAGTATGAAAATATGTCAAGTCACAAGGACGTCCAAACGCTTACCCGTACGATGGACATGTATGGCTACGTCGCTGGCGACTTGGTCCCGGAGATTGTGCATGAGTATATCCAACACGTTACTGTACTGCTGGATCGTATATTCCGTTTCCGAGACGACGTTCTTTCCGAGTGTCTTCCCTGTGATAACGGCAGAAGCTTGAGACAATGCAAAGCGCAGCAACTCGTTATGACTCACAAAGTTCTTGGTCTCCGAATAATTTCTGATGAATTGAGCACATTCAAGGGTCTGCTGAGAGATCTGTCCAAGGGTAATACGCATTGACGAAATTTGGCCAAGCACTTGATCCTGTGTCATGAACATGTAAACCTGACACAACTTTTCGAGAAGTTCTGATATTGCTGCGTCGTGATCCGCTTGAGCTAGAATAATCTGCACAAATGATTGCTGAGCGGTGGAAGATAGGAAGAGAGAAAAAGAAAACATACTTTGACTGAACAAGACAACACGCCCAGTTCCATCTTTGCATATGGATGTACCTGTGGAACTAGATTAGTTTGATTCCGATCAAGAGGAGGGTCCATACATCCGCGATCTTCCCAATAACATCGTCGAATATCCTGAGGGGTTCGAGATATGTGTCCTGGAAACCTTCAGCAGCATCGAGATCCGCTTGTGCATCTTGGCCAACAGACGTCACAGTTATCGCAGGTCCCGATAGTGGCTGCATGCATTGTGCATCCTGAAATGCCGATTGGGTATCAGCCTCCACTTCCACGCTAGACGGAGCAGCCTGAACCTGCGCGACCACCAAAATTTAGAGAGCACAGAGACTGAAGGACAACTTTGAGAACTTACCTCGATGATATTCGGGGTCGATGAAACACATTGATGAAGCACATTCGGGGGAGCAGGGCTACGGCTGCGGGAATCCTTCGAGCGCTTGTTGCAATCTTAGTCGTATTCCAGGACACTCATTACTCATGCTCGTGGTCTCACCGATACTCTTAAGTTGTTCGCACCGTCCCTAACCTTCTCCGGAAACCGACCGACTCTGCCGCGGGGTCGGTGCTAGACGAAGGATGTATCCATGTCAGTGTTTGGAGTGGAGTAAACCAACTAATCCTCATAAGCCACGTACCGAGCTTCCACGAGCTGTTTCTTCGCTAGATGTGCGGGTTTTTTGAGTCGATGAGTTGCCTTTCCTCATTATGAATGGCAGTTGACGATCGGAATCAGTATAATTATGTAGCGAAGTACTAGTAAAATGAAAATGAGAAGGCTTGCGTCCGATCGAGTCATTTATATAAGATAACAGGCTATTATTAGTACAAGCCTCGAGGCAATAGGAACATCCCAGCACAGCACTAAGGTAATTCACACCACAACATCTATGAGCCCTCTCCGGCAAGGTCCACTTTTCACTGGGCTTGAGGGACGCATGTGTTAGGCTACGTCGACGATCTGCATTTTGCAACGCCTTTTATATTGTCAAAAGCCACGATGACGCTTTTCCAATCATCATCTGACACCAATAATTGCCACGTATGCGATATAATGATATTAATATATATGCACATGACAGGGGAACGCAGGAACTTGCAACTGATCAGGTGCACAAGACCAAGCCAGCGAGCTGGACATATTGTTATGATATATATACTCATTCCTAGCATGAGACCACACTAGTCCCTCTTGAACACAACACCCACAATGGAACCCACTAAACAAACCCTCTTGGTCGGCGGCCTCCTCGTCGACGTCTACTCGCACCCCACTTCGAGCTCCAGCTCCACAGACCCCATTCACGCTCTCTTCTTCCTCCACGGCCGCTTCGAAAGCGCACAAGAAAAACACCTAGTCGATACTGTCAAAGTTCTTTTTGATGAGAGTTATGGATCGGGTTGGGGAGAGAGGAAGAAAGATCTTATCGTTGTTGCTTTTGTGAGTCACTCTTTGCTTCGTCTTCGGAGGGAAGGGAAGGGTGCTGATGGTGGGTGGACGAAAAGGATCACAGGAACCATGGGATGAGACTCGTAGATCAGAAGCGGAATTTCGCATGGAGCTCAGATCCGGCTGAGAATAATGATCAGCATGCGTACGTATCGTAGCAACGGCATGGCACATATGCTGATGGCCCCCTCATTCAGCGTTGACATGTATACCATCCAAAGTACGTCCAAGCCACAAACGTGCGTCGTGAATCTGAAACTGACCCTACCTGAAGCCGGTACAGCAGAAGACGTGTCCTTCCTAATCGACCACCTCCCTTCCTTCCTCTATCGCTCGGGTGAACGGACAATTGTGGAATGGGGTATGGGCGGTACGAGTCTTGGAGGGCATTCAACGTGGATTGCGCTTTCTCGAGGTATGTGCCCAATGTTTACCTAGTTCCCCTTACTTCATCTACAACCCCCTAGAACCCCGCCTCACCCTCGGAATCCCCATAATCGGGTGCCCAGACTATACGAAACTCATCTCCCGACGCGCCCAAGCCTCAGGCATTCCCTTCTCCCCGCCCTACTTTCCCACCTCCTTCAAAACATACATAGAAACGTACGACCCCGCACAACTGCCCTACCGCGCTAAGGACGCTTCCAATCCGTTTTTGGGGAAGAAGGTGTTGGTGCTTTCGGGGAAGGAGGATAAGCTTGTGCCGTGGGTGGCGTCGGCAGAGTTTGTGGAAGGTCTTGAAGTTGGGGAGGGGGGGTATTAAGAGGGTTGTGGTGGAGGAGGGGGCGGGGCATGAGTGTACGAATGGGATGCGGAAGGAGGCTGGGTTGTTTGTGAGGAAGTGGTTGAGTGGTGCGGGTTTGTGAGGGTGTTCTTTTCTTTTCTTTTGGGGATGAGAGCTGTATTAAGGATATATGATTCAGAACATGTATGATATGACACGAGACGCCGTAGGTCTATATTGAAAGTCATAACCAAAAAGGGCGTAGCTATTTTGACGCGGCACTGACAAGTCTTTTCAGAAAATTCTGAAAGCTTGACGTGTTAGTGCAAGCGTTCCTATGTTCTACATTCGACTGCCACATCAAGTTGCACGGGTGCATGACTATTCCTTCGTCAATTTTATTCACCATAGGCACACATACTAAGTACTGGCTACTAGCTATGTGACTATTTTCTTCGTACTAATGAGCCTTGATGCGACTGACACGCCAGGCCCGTTCTACATTAGGGACCCATACTACCAAGATACTACTAGCTACATCACCCAATGCCTATTTTCTTTTCCTCCCTCTCTGGACCCTCTTCAAATCACGTCGACCTTTAAAGGGCACATCATGATCTTTAGCTGGCAGCGAAGGGCAACGTTTCACGGGCGCAATTTCTTCTTCAGCCGGCAGCGAAGGAGCTACAACGTCGGACAACTCGTCTGCAGACGTGGCATCAGAATTATCGCTGAACAAGGGGCCACGCTGTCAATCACACCAGTTAGAGACCTATTGAACAGACCAGGTAATATTTTCCTTACTTCAAGTTCACTCTCGCTGTAATCTCTTCCCAGAACCCATTCATCAGGAATGTTGAGATACACGTTCCACCGCCTGTGATGTTGACCAGCATCCAAACCCCACTGCTGGTCGCCTGTAGGTCCTGCTTCTTCAGAATCTTCAAACATCCTTGCTTCTAGTGCGGTCAGACACTCGAGGTCGTCGGCAGGATAGCTTATCATGAGATCAGCCCAAGCCATCTTCAATAGCTCGCTATTGTTCCATTTGAAATCACCAGCCTTTCGATCGACGATGAGCAACAACGAGAGTGAAAGCGTGCACCAAAGGCAGATTCGATGTGATCTGTGTAAAAATTGGTCACACGTTGCTTGTCAGACAGTCAGTGACTCAGGGAGGTGGTCAAGCAATCTCCATCCGAAAGCAGCGCATCGATGGATGTGATCTGTACCCTAGGATTTGTGACGGTGCCGCGTCACATAAGCCGCGCTCACAGGCGCGTCACGACCGCGTCAATTTCACCTGGCCCGACCAAACATCACTCAAAGCGCCTAATGAGCACATCATAAATGATACCACTATAGGGTATAGCACGCGCCACCGTCATTCCACACCATCCTCCTTATGTGTGGCAGGAATATTCAAGATTGCGTATTCGAGTCTGACCGTGACCTCACCGTGAAGTTGCAGATAAGTGAACGAGCTCCAATACTAGCTTATGACATGCGACGTTTGTAAAATTGGGTTAACTCCTCGGTTTCCGCGGTCAGAACCACTAAAATATTATGGTAACGTAAATCATATGCATCATCATGCAAAGCTGGCCCGATCTGACGAGCGCGCTACTTACTGCCTTGTTCCTGTACGTCCATCCCGCTCAACACCTCCCACGATGGATTTCGGTAAGTTTTCCCTCCGTTCACCGCACTATGACTAACCTCGTCTCTAAGCACATCCCTCATCTTCTAGCGGCTCATGGAAGAGTCTATGCAATGTCGTAGAATATAGCGGCATTTTCGATTCTGAATATCGCCAGCCCCACTCACGGTGCATGGAAAACACACGTGTTATCCTTCGGAAGAGCATAACACAAGTCCTTGACCAACGTGATCGGACGAACGTCTGGCTCAACGGTCTCGCCGGTGTTGGAAAAACATCTATCGCGTTCACCATAGCTGAGGAGATGAAAGCAGCGAAGAGGCTTGCTGCCACTTTCTTCTTCTCGCACAAGCATTCGCAAAAACCTGTCGCCATCATTCCTACCATCGCATACCAGCTAGCACTGGCTTTTCCGCGCATTCGAGAAGATATCGTGAAAGCGATCGATAACGATGACAGTCTCCTATCACCTGGAAAATCTCGCGCAGATCAGATGCGAGAGCTCGTCATAAAGCCACTCGAGATATTGAGATTCCGCGAAGAAACTTATTCCATCATTATCGATGCTCTCGACGAATGTTTCTCCTCTGAAGAGGCCGCAAGACTGGTCACGCTGTTGACAGACACCCTTGCAGGCACAGCCTTGCCATTCATCCATGTCATATTCACGAGCCGCCCTGAGGCTCATATCTGCGCTGCCATACCCTCCAGTATCCGCGAGATTCGCCTTACCACTCGTGATGAAAACACCATAAAGGATGTCCGTTTATTTCTGCGAGCATCACTGGACAAAACACGGACAAGTCGTCCTGCTGTTTTCGGTCAGCCACCCATTCCCTGGCCATCGGAGGATGAATTCGAGACATTGGTCTTTAAGGCGGGCGGTCTGTTTGTTTACGCTGCCATGGCCATGAATTTTATATCGGCCGCTGGACATGATCCGCAGGAAAGACTAGAGCTCTTACTACGCGAGAAGTCGACTGTTGGTGCTGACATCGATCAGCTTTATCGGCAGATCATTGCAACTTCCGAGGATCCACTCGCGCACTGTCGGATGTTAGTGTCTATAATCAATCTTGCACATCCGTTGCCACTTGTGGAACTTCAAGAACTCTTTTACGCAGATAAAAGGAGCTTAGGTGTGATGCTTGAAGCATTTTCACCTGTGATCTTGAATGATGGGATCGGAAATGTTGAAATCTATCACGCTTCGCTCCGCGACTTTATGAGCGACCCTCTACGCTCGAAGCAATATCACATAGACGGTCCACATGCTAATGAGCACCTTGCATGCTGCTGCCTTGAGTTCATTACACGCCGGGACGCCACTCGTGCCAATATAGTGTCGTCTCCTCGATATCTATATCCATATCAGATGTGGGGTATCCATATTTATCTTGCCCATCCTAGCAGCAAACTTCGAAATTTGCTGGCCCTGTTTACAGACACAACACTGCGATATTGGGTGCAGACCCCAAGCCCTAAGGACCTCTACCTTGCACGCACTGTCCGGTTTGCAAGAAAGGCTTGTTTATCCTTGGTAATTGTTTTAAATATTGAATTATTACGGATGTGTACTAACCATGAGTTGCTCAGAGATGGATCAGGGGTCCGTCGGACATTATGGTTGCATGGCGTCTTCATAAAGGTTGTAAAAAGCTTGCAAAGCTAGAAATGGCAAGAAACTAGCAAGCTTTACGGAGCCCAACTAGCTAGAAATTCAGAAATGCCGCCATTTGGATCAATTCTCGCTGTTCGGACTACTACTGTATACCCATCTCTGGTCCTCAAAAACAAGAAGCATATGACATTCCAGCAACGACGGCCGTACCACGCCCGTGCCAATGCACGTCTGTGGAAACACTGTCCAACTCAAGCACTAAGGCCTATCCACATCGATCGTACATCTTCTGCGTCGACCTGCATTGTGCAACGTCTTTTATCATAAGCCACGATGACACTTCAAGATTTAAACAGAACCATCTGATATTGATATTGATATTGATGTAGTGAGTTCAAGAGGCAAGATCATGCTTTAAGAAGGATCCGAGACTTGAAGCTTTAATATTTGGAGGAAGTTCGAATCTTGATGGCCTTCAGGAAACGGTCAACCGGGTGTCCTAGGGACTGGGCGTTGGTGACTAGTACTGCTGGCACACCCCAGAGTGAACATAGCAGGGATCACGGATTGCATATCGAGTTGGACCATGCGATAAATGGATTTCCATCGATGAACGTTTGAACGTCGAACATCCGAGTGGATCAACGAACGATACTTGCTTATGTCAGCAAAATACCAGTGAACCTTGCTCAATGCTAGCTTCCTTCACAACTAGAGTAATATTATTTTCTAGTTCTCAGCCTCGCCAGAAGTTGGTATTATCAGCAATGTCAACGTTCCGCCGACATACCACTCTCGCTGGCATCTCGTAGCTGTCAGTACTACAGTTGTCTACAAGTGGGTGATTGTCGGACGAGTGTGGTTTACGGTTTTTGACCATTTACTGACTCGGATTTACAGTCCAATTGGAGCTATACGTATGGACTTGAAGAGATAAGCATAGTTGATGCGGCTGGCCAGTGCTACGAATCCGATGCAATAGTTCTCCGAGGGCGCGGCATGCACATGTGTTAGGCTACGTTAACGTTGATGACATGCATTGTAACGTCTTTTATATTTTTAGAAGCCTCAATGATGCCTTTCAGACCTATCTGACACTGACTCAGATAATTGCCACGTAGCAATGTGCATATGATAAGGCCGTGACTCAGTGCGCATATATACACACCTATGGGCCATGGTATCAAATGCATATTAGTGATTGAATACTGTCTCTCCTTTGCAGCCTACCCCCACAACAATGGAACCCACTAAACAAACTCTCCTAGTCGGCGGCCTCCTCGTCGATGTCTACTCCCACCCCACTTCGAGACCCAGCTCCACAGATCCCATCCACGCGCTCTTTTTCCTCCACGGCCGCTTCGGAAGCGCACAAGAAAGTTACGTTGTTAATATTATTAAAGCTATTTTCGATGAGAGTTATGGCCCTGGAATCGGGTGGGGGGAGAGAGGAAGAAAGATCTTATCGCCGTTGCCTTTGTGAGTCACACTTTATCCCCTGTGTAGGGAAGGGAAACTTAAAAGGATGTGTGGGCGGAAAGGATCATAGGAACCATGGGTCGAGACTCGTGGACCAGAAGCGGAATTTGGCGTGGAGCGAGGATCCGGCTAAGAATAATGATCAGCATGCGTACGTATTGTAGCATGGTATGGCGTATGAATATATGAACGCTGATACCCCCTGATTTAGCGTCGACATGTATACCATCCAAAGTACGTCCAAGTCACAAACGTGCGTTGAATCTGAGACTGACCCCACTTGAAGCTGGTACAGCAGAAGACGTGTCTTTCATAATCGACCATCTTCCCTCATTCCTCTATCCCTCGGGTGAACGGACGATTGCAGAATGGGGTATATGCGGTGTGAGCCTCGGAGGTCATTCGACGTGGATTGCCCTTTCTCGAGGTACGCACCCAGCCCATCTAAGTAGCTACTTGTTCTGATCCCACACACCCAGAACCCCGCCTCACTCTCGGAATCCCCATAATCGGGTGCCCAGACTACACGAAGCTCATCTCCCAACGCGCCCGATCCTCAGGCATTCCATTCTCCCCGCCCTACTTCCCCGACTCCTTCAAAACATACATAGAAACGCACGACCCCGCACAACTGCCGTACCGCGCCAAGGACACTTCTAATCCATTTTTAGGGAAGAAGGTTTTGGTGCTTTCGGGGAAGGAGGATAAGCTTGTGCCGTGGGTGGCGTCGGCAGAGTTTGTGGATGGTCTTGAAGTTGGGGAGGGGGGTGTTAAGAGGGTTGTGGTGGAGGAGGGGGCGGGGCATGAGTGTACGAGTGGGATGCGGAAGGAGGCTGGGTTGTTTGTGAGGAAGTGGTTGAGTGGTGCGGGGTTGTGAGGGTGCTGTTTTCTTTTCTTTTGGGGATGAGAGCTGTATTAAGGATATATGATTTAGAATATGTATGATATGACATGACATGCCACAGGTCTACCAAAACCACCCAAAGCACTGAATGAGCCCAACATGAACGATACCGCTGCAGGGTATAGCCAGCATGCACCTGCACCACCGTCATCCCACACCGCCTCCTTATGCATGGCAGGAATCAAGATTGCATATTCGAGTCTGACTTGCAGGTGATACATATAGATCAGCACCACGTAATGGTCGCATATTGTGTCTTGATGACTGTGACACACACGCTTCGCAACGCTCGTTCATGTCTCACGGAGGACAAACAACTTTCCCTCTACAAACTATGATTTGGACTGTGCTGTCTGTACGACCTCATAAAGGGTCTCTGAAGTCTGACGTGAGCTTTGCAACAGGGAGTTCCTCTGCTTCTGACGTAGGATTGGATCCACGCCATGCACAATCGCTGAATTTGTTCCCAGAAGGTGTTCGACTGAACAACTCCAGTGCTTGTACGGAGAAGGCACTTGAGCGTATACATACGGATGAGGAGGCAAAGCAGAGCGCGCCAGATTCTAGGAGAGCGGCAGAGAGAACGAGTTTGGAGTGCGGGATATTCAATGACGACCAGGATATCGTGATATGCGTGAGGCTGCATGCATCGACATTCTTGAATCCTTCGGTAACCGTTTCGACGACTGGTATCACGTTACTTGAAACACACATTCGTCCGACGGCAGGTTTTCACTTGCAAAAAAATGTATGAGCAGTATACAGTTTAGACAGAGATGACGAGGTGTCCGATATCCGTGTCGTACATAAAGGATGGTTCGAAATACATTAGAGGGAGTGGGACGGGTAGGTGGAGCACATCAACGAGAGTCCATCGAGAGATGTAAAGACATGCGACTTTTGAAGGATGATAAGATCTAATGACGATCATCCGTATATTCAGGAGAGAGACAACCGAGAAAGAGCCAGAAGCGAGTCCAGAGTCCAGCCTGTCTTATCATTGCATCTGGGCGTGACGGTGGTGAAGTTGTAGCTGTCATAGTATCGCCGGCAGCAGGTGTGATGGATGATGAAGACCGTAGTTGTGAAGATGGCCTAGTGGCATTGAGCTTGGGAGGATGTGAGCTGCCCGCAGTAGAGTTCTTCGAGTGCAATGCTTTCGTTTTCTGTCTTTGTTTCGCTAGCGCAACCTCCCTCGCTGAAGCATTTCTCTACGTGAAATTAGGTGGAGTTGAACGTCCAAGAAGCAGAAATAACTTACAGGTTTGCCCCTCGCATGCGGAACTTCAACATCTGCAGGGCTGCACCCTTGCAACTCGATGCCTTCACCACTTTGCCTGCGCGGTTTCAAAATGTTTCGAGCCCAGTCGAGAAGAGAGGACGGTGACGTATCGTGGGCATCGGAGGGTGTGCGGTGGAATAAACGGCTGAGAAACGTGCTGCCTGGTGGTGCCGAGGAATGGGGGTGGCTTCGTGCAGAGGACTAATAACATGGAGGTCAGGAAGAAAATCGAAATAATAGTCATGACGTACAGGAGCTGGTGGGACACCATCGAAAAAACCTTGGGGTACCTGATAAACAGGCGGACGTCGCGTAGCATTAGCCTAGAGTATATATGTTGAACAAAATGATATCTTTTTATGAATATGTCGCGTACGTGGAGTTCCGACTTGTTGGCCTGGCAGAGTGCGTTCAGTTGTGAGAATGTAATACAATGAGACTATCAACTCACCTTTGAATGCGAAAGAAGGTCGTTGAGGCCGGCTTCTTTAACAATTACAGCAACATCCCATGTGTACGCGTTTCCGTCCTCGCAGCCAGTTGCTAGTAGCTTTCCATCCGCAGAAAACGACACACAGTTCACTGGCTCTGCGTGCTGAAGTGGTGAACCGATGGACTGTCCATTATCGAGGTTCCATAATCGTGCTGTCTTGTCCTGTAATGCGCTTGCGAGGATGCGGCCATTCGGAGATATTGCAATGGCAAAAACAGCAGAAGTGTGCTCATCCAGAACCGCGGTTTGCTCCCACTTGGTTGCATCCCATGTCCTAATGGAGCGATCGGCAGACCCAGAGACAAGCGTTTTTTCCGTCCTTGGTCCAAGCCAGGCAGCGCACTGCGTTTGTGTGTCCTTTCAGAGTTGCGACAAGCTTGCCTGTCTTTGCATCCCAGATTTGAACCGAGGACTCGTATTTTCCAGTCTGGGGTCCATCCCATCCAACCGGTCGCAATCAAGGTCATGTCTGGTGAATAAACGACTGCCCACACTTGATTGTGCCCAGTCTCCATCAGCTCGAGGGTGGTCTCTCCGCTTTCCACGTCCCATTGCCTTGCAGTCCCATCGATAGATCCGCTGAACACTCTCTGACCATCTTGACTCCAGCAGACAGACCCCACTTCCGTTGTGCGACCCGTCCATTTAGCGATGACCTTGCGTGTGTCGATGTCCCACAACCTCACTGTGCCATCACCACTCCCGCTAACCACTGTCTTCCCGTCCGGAGACAACGCTATAGTCCATACTCGACTTTCTTCGTCTCTCCAATCTTCTCCTATCTGTTTCCCGCTCTTCAAGTTCCACACCCGCAGCGAGCCATCCGATGAACAAGTGATGATCCGTTGTCCGCCTGGCAAGTGTATGACGCCCCAAACAGGATCACTGTGTCCTTCAAATTTCTGGTGAAACGTTTTTGCTGATGTTTCTTTCGTGTTAGCGGTTGGTGAAGCCATGCACCAGAATTGCTACTACCAAGTGCAGCGTTGTCTCAGCTTTCATCAATCAGATTCCAAAATCATCACTTACGAAGACAACAATGACAGGCGGACAGAAAGGCACAATGGGCGTTTCGGTCAAGTCAGAGTTGATTTCACTGCTTGCTGGTATGTTTTTACATGCTTTATCCTCGTGTTCGCTTCACACCTTTACTGGTAGGGAGGCAACTATCACGTGTCACGCAGAGCTGGTTGCGTTCAATGCATTACTAATTTGCCCTGACGGAGGTTGAGATCTCTGAGACTCGAGTTACTACTAGAATTCAAACGTTCATATGCCACATAGGTAAAAATTTCTGGCCTGTCACGATGATGAAGTTCGCTGGAAAGCGTTCTCGACGACTTGATCGAGTGTGATCTCCTTGGACCGTGCGATAAACGATGGATTTCGGATTTCCATCGATGACGTTGACATCGATCGAACACTTGCTTATGTCAGCAAAATACCAGTAGAGTCCGAGTCTTATATGCTAGCTTCCTTCACAACTAGTATATTTTCCAGTTTTCAGCCTCGCCAGAAGTTGGTATTATCAGCAATGTCAACGTCCCGCCGACATCCCACTCTCACGGGCAAATGCAGATATGAGTACTACGGTTGTCTACGAGTGGGGGATGTCGAGCGTGCGTGATCTTGACTATTTACTGACTCGGATTTACGGTCCAATTGGAGCGATACGTATGGGCTTGAAGAGATGAGTATAGTTGATGTGGCTGGCCAGTGCTATGAATCCGATTTAATAGTTCTCCGAGGGCGCATGCACATGTGTTACTGAGGCTACGCAATTGACGACATGCATCGTAACGTCGTCTTATATTTTAGAAGCCACGATGGCGCCTTTCAGAACTATCTGACTGTACACTGACTGCCCAATGTGCATATGATAAGGCCGTGACTCGGTGCGTATATATATACACCCATGATATCATATTAGTGATTGAACACCATCTCTCCTTTGCAGCCCACCGCACAACAATGGAACCCACTAAACAAACTCTCCTAGTCAGCGGCCTCCTCGTCGACGTCTACTCCCACCCCACTTCGAGCCCCAGCTCCACAGATCCCATCCACGCGCTCTTTTTCCTCCACGGAAGCGCACAAGACAATAACATTGTCAATACTATTAAAGTTATTTTGACGAGAGTTATGGCTCCGGATCGGGTGTGAGCGGAGAGAGGAAGAAAGATCTTATCGCCATTGCTTTTGTGAGTCACACTTTATGCCCTGTGTAGGGAAGGGAAACTTAAAAGGATGGGTGAGCGAAAATGATCATAGGAACCATGGGTCGAGACTCGTGGACCAGAAGCGGAATCTGGCGTGGAGCGAAGATCCGGCTAAGAATAATGATCAGCATGCGTACGTGTCGTGGCATGGCATATGAATATATGAACGCTGATACCCCCTGATTTAGTGTTGACATGTATACCATCCAAAGTACGTCCAACCCACAAACGTGCATCGTGAAACTGAAACTGACCCCACTTGAAGCTGGTACAGCTGAAGACGTGTCTTTCATAATCGACCATCTTCCCTCATTCCTCTATCCCTCGGGTGAACGGATGATTGTGGAATGGGGTATATGCGGTATGAGTCTTGGAGGACATTCGACGTGGATCGCGCTTTCTCGAGGTACGCACCCAGCCTATCTAAGTAGCTACTTGTTCTGATCCCCCCACACACTCAGAACCCCGCCTCACCCTCGGAATCCCCATAATCGGGTGCCCAGACTATACGAAACTCATCTCCCAGCGCGCCCAATCCTCAGGCATTCCATTCTCCCCGCCCTACTTCCCTGCCTCCTTCAAAACATATATAGAAACGCACGACTGCCGTACCGTGCCAAGGACGCTTCCAATCCGTTTCTGGGGAAGAAGGTGTTGGTAATTTCGGGGAAGGAGGATAAGCTTGTCCCGTGGGTGACATCGGCAGAGTTTGTGGACGGTCTTGAAGTTGGGGAGGGGGGTATTAAGAGGGTTGTGGTGGAGGAGGGGGCGGGGCATGAGTGTACGAGTGGGATGCTGAAGCTGAACTTTGAAGGAGGCTGAGTTGTTTGTGAGGAAGTGGTTGAGTGGTGTGGGGTTGTGAGGGTGTTGTTTGTTTTCTTTTGGGGATGAGAGCTGTATTAGGGATGTACGTTCTAATGGAATATGTATGATATGACACGCAGGTTTATATATGATATTGAAAGTCGTGACCAAAAGCCACTTAAAGCGCTGAATGACTCGGAGCCCATCATAAACGTCGAACGATACCGCTGCAGGGTATAGCATGCGCTACCGTCATCCCACACCATCCTCCTTATGTGTGGCAGGAGTCAAGATCGCATAATCGAGTCTGACTTCACAAGTTGCAGATAAGTGAACGAGTTCAGAACTTCAGCGCCAGCTTCAGCCTGGTAAGCGACCTTCGAGGCATCGTGAATGTCGGAGTCTCGAAGTTTTGAGGCATCGTGAAAATGCTGCGCCACTGCTGTGTCGCAAACCCCGCAGCAGTCGCAGCAGTGGCGCAGCATTTTCCTAGTGCCCGAAGTTTTGAGTTCGCCGATACTACTTACGTCATGCAACGTTTGTAGCAGTCAGACCCCATAGTAGTGTAACGTATGCGTACAGCCATGGGCCATGGCAATGATGAGCGCTGTATAACTACTTACTGCCTTTTGCCCGTCCATCCCGCCCACCCACCATGGATTTCGGTAAGTTTTCCCTCCGCACCATGAATCGTACTTACCTCGTCTCTAAGCACATTCCTCATCTTCTAACGGCTCGTGGAACCGTCTATGCAATGTCGTAGAATATAGTGGCATTTTCGATTCTGAATTTCGCCAGCCCCACTCGCGGTGCATGGAAAACACACGCGTCGCCCTTCGGGAGAGCATAGCACAAGTCCTTGACCAACGTGATCGGACGAACATCTGGCTCAACGGTCTCGCCGGTGTTGGAAAAACATCTATCGCGTTCACCATAGCTGAGGAGATGAAAGCAGCGAAGAGGCTTGCTGCCACTTTCTTCTTCTCGCACAAGCATTCGCAAAAAGTTGCGGTCATAATTCCTACCATTGCATACCAGCTAGCACTAGCTTTTCCGCGCATTCGAGAAGATATTGTGAAAGCGATCGATAACGACGACAGCCTCCTATCACCTGGAAAATCTCACGCAGATCAGATGCGAGAGCTCATCATAAAGCCACTCGAGATATTGAGATTCCGTGAAGAGCCTTATGCCATCATCATCGATGCTCTCGACGAATGTTTCTCCTCCGAAGAGGCCGCAAGACTGGTCACGCTTTTGACAGACGCTCTTGCGGGCCCAGCCCTGCCATTTATCCATATAATATTCACAAGCCGCCCCGAGGCTCATATCCGCGCTGCCATACCCTCCAGTGTCCACGAGATTCTCCTTACCACTCGTGATAAAGACAGCATACAGGATGTTCGTTTCTTTCTGCGAGCATCACTGGACAAAACAAGGACAATTCGTCCTGCTGTTTTCGGTGAGCCACCCTTCCCCTGGCCAACAGAGGGTGAATTCGAGACATTGGTCTATAAGGCAGGCGGTCTGTTTGTTTACGCTGCCATGGCCGTGAATTTTATATCTGCCGCTGGTCATCATCCGCAGGAGAGACTAGAACTCTTACTACGCGAGAGGCCGACTGTTGGTGCTGACATCGATCAGCTTTATCGGCAGATCATTGCAACTTCGGAAGATCCACTTGCGCACTGCCGGATGTTAGCGTCTATCATCCATCTTGACAGACCGTTGCCACTTGCAGAACTCCAAGAACTCTTTTACACAGATAGAAGGAGCTTGGCTATGATGCTTGAAGCATTTTCACCCGTGATCTTGAACGACGGGGTTGGGCATGTCGACATTTACCACGCTTCGCTCCGCGACTTTATGGACGACCCTCTACGCTCGAAGCAATATCACGTAGATGCTGCACACGCTAATGAGCACCTTGCATGCTGCTGCCTTGATTTCATTACACGCCAGGATTTCATTCGGACTCGTACCATTTTAGTATCGCCATTGTCTTATCCATATCCATATCAGACATGGTGCATCCATCTTCATTATGCCTATCCTAGCGGCAAACTTCGAAATCTGCTGGCCCTGTTTACAAACACAACACTGCGATATTGGTTACAGACCTCAAGTCCTAAAGACCCCTACCTTGCACACACTGTCCTGATTGCAAGAAACGCTTGTTTATCCTTGGTGATTATTTTGAACATGTTGAATTATTAGGGACGTGTACTAACCATGAATTGCTCAGAATTGGATCAGGGGTCCGTCGGACATTGTGGTTGCGTGGCGTCTTCATAAAGGTTGTAAAGAGTTTGCAAAGAAAGCTCAAGAAACCAACATTAGACGGTACTACACGAAGTCCAACTACATCAAGTCTCGCTTCTCGAACTACTGCTGGTAGCCAGTCCAGATAAACTGAACTGTGGTCCTTGAAAACAAGAAGCATACGACACGCTGGCAACGACGCCGGTACTATGCTCATGTTAATGCACGTCCGTGGAAACACTCCCCAGTCCAAGCCACGATGACACTTCAAGTTGTAAACAGAATCGTCATCATCCGATATTGATGTAGTGAGGATCATCCTTTAAGAAGAATCCGAGGCTTCAAGCTTGAAGTTCGAATCTTGATGGTCTTCAGGAAGGGGTCAACTTTGACTTGGGTGTCCTACTACTAGGGACTCGGCGTTGATGACTGCTGGCGCACTTCAGAGTGAACATGGCAGAGGAATTGCATATCGAGTGTGACCGGTTGACCTTCTTGTACTATGTGTTGAACGATGGAGAGAGAATTTCTATATCTATATACCGCACAATGGATATCAGATTTCCATCGATCAACGAACGATACTTGCTTATGTCAGCAAAATACTAGTGCTAGTGGACCCTTCACTTGAACTAGCAGTTCTCAGCCTCGCCAGAAGTTGGTATTATCAGCAATGTCAACGTCCCGCCGACATCCCACTCTCACGGGCAAATGGAGACATGAGTACTACAGTTGTCTATGAGTGGGGATGTCGAGCGCGCGTGGTTTACGATCTTGACCATTTACTGACTCGGATTTACAGTCCAATTGGAGCGATACGTATGGGCTTGAAGAGATGTGTATAGTTGATGCGCTGGCCAGTGCTACTACGAATCCGGTGCAATAGTTCTCCGAGGGCGCACGCACATGTGTCAGGCTACGTTGACGACAATGCATCGTAACGTCTTTTATATTTTTAGAAGCCACGATGGCGCCTTTCAGAACTATCTGGCTGTACACTGACTGCGCAATGTGCATATGATAAGGCCGTGACTCGGTGCGTATGTATACACACCCGTGGTACCATATTAGTGATTGAATACCGTCTCTCCTTTGCAGCCCACTGCACAACAATGGAATCCACTAAACAAACTCTCCTAGTCGGCGGCCTCCTTGTCGACGTCTACTCCCACCCCACTTCGAGCTCCACAGATCCCATCCACGCGCTCTTCTTCCTCCACGGCCGCTTCGGAAGCGCACAAGACAGTAACGTTGTCAATACTATTAAAGCTATTTTCGATGAGAGTTACGGCCCTGGATCGGGTGGGGGAGAGAGGAAGAAAGATCTTATCCCCGTTGCTTTTGTGAGTCACACTTCATCCCCTGTGTAGGGAAGGGAAACTTAAAAGGATGGGCGGGCGGAAAGGATCATAGGAACCATGGGTCGAGACTCGTGGACCAGAAGCGGAAGAGCGAGGGTCTGGCTAAGAATAATCATCAGCATGCGTACGTATTGTAGCATGGCATGGCATATGAATATATGAACGCTGATACCCCCTGATTTAGCGTTGACATGTATACCATCCAAAGTATGTCCAAACGTGCGTGGTGAAACTGAAACTGACCCCACTTGAAGCTGGTACAGCAGAAGACGTGTCCTTCCTAATTGACCATCTTCCTTCATTCCTCTATCCTTCAGGTGAACGGACGATTGTGGGATGGGGTATATGCGGTGTGAGTCTTGGAGGAAATTCGACGTGGATCGCGCTTTCTCGAGGTACGCACCCAGCCCATCCTAGTAGCTACTTCATCTGATCCCCCCACACACTCAGAACCCCGCCTCACCCTCGGAATCCCCATAATCGGGTGCCCAGACTACACGAAACTCATCTCCCAACGCGCCCAATCCTCAAGCATCCCCATCTCCCCGCCCTACTTTTCCACCTCCTTCAAAACATACATAGAAACGCACGACCCTGCACAACTGGCGTACCGTGCCAGGGACGCTTCCAATCCGTTTTTGGGGAAGAAGGTGTTGGTGCTTTCGGGGAAGGAGGATAAGATTGTGCCGTGGGTGGCGTCAGCAGAGTTTGTGGACGGTCTTGAAGTTGGGGAGGGGGGTGTTAAGAGGGTTGTGGTGGAGGAGGGGGTGGGACATGAGTTTACGAGTGGGATGCGGAGGGAGGCTGGGTTGTTTGTGAGGGAGTGGTTGAGTGGTGCGGTGTTGTGAGGATTATCTTTTCTTTTCTTTTTGGGACGAGCTGTATTGAAGGATATACGATTCAGAATATGGATGATGTGACACGAGATGTAGGTCTATGTTGAAAGTCGACCCAAATAGCCCATACCGCTGCAGCGGTACTGGTGTGCCACTGTCCTCTCACGCCCCTCCAGCACCTTGTACATCGCGACGTCCGTACTCCAAAACGGCGGGACTTTGCTCTTCAGTTCGCGCGAGGAGATGAACGTATCAGGCGGGCCAAGGTCTTTTGGATGGTTGCCATGTCGGCAGGGTAGAGCGAGAGGGTGCAGAGTACGAGAGAGCTGAGTACCAAGGGGCAAGGTCCGGGGGATGGCATTCTATAAAGTAGTTGAAGATTGGATCATGCGAGCAAGGGGCGCTCCTCAGAAGCTACAGCGGGGTATACTTAGTACCCGTGTGCACATGACTATGGCTATCTTTGAGGTGGCTCCAATATGTGGCGTGTTCAGGACTGCCAAGAGTGATAACGAAGAGCTCCACCAAGAGCTAAAGGAGCTCCATGTGTGAGTCACTTACGCTATCCCCTTGAGTTATACTTTCACGGGTATCGTCAAGGGATTGCTGGCTTAACCCTAACCTAGGATTTCCTAAAATAAATGGGGGTGATGACATCAGTGAAATCACAAAGCAATATCAATCAAATCCAATAGCAGAACTCGATCGTGTTTGGCTTTTCTTGGGGATAAAAGCCAGCTTGGATACTCATAATCACAAAAATCATCCTTCCCTTTCTAATCTCACTACCAAATCTCACTCACTCACAATGCCTGAAGGTACTATGAGAGCTCTGTGGTACAACAAGGTAGCCATCGTCCACTACCGTATCACCGTCGTCTAACCTAGCGACAGCCACAAGACTTTGAGATAAAGCAAGTCCCGATACCCAAAGTCGGCGACGACGACGTTCTCTTGAAAGGTGCCTCTCACAACCCTCACCATACTCACTTCTAACCAACGACCAACCCCTAGTATCATGTTGCGGTCAGTAGTAGGCACGTCACACCATCTCGAACACACACTCATATCGTCTGCATAGGTGTATGCGGCACAGACGGACACATCCATGACGGGGAATTCATCTCCAAATTCCCAGTCAGTCCTCCTTATCAGCAGTGACGTCAATCCATATTAAGCTTATCGCACCCCTAGCTCATCCCGGGTCATGAAGCCATCGGAAAAGTCGTCGAAATGGGAAAGAACGTCAAAGGTTTCGAGATCGGCGACCGCTGCGTCGCTGATGTAGGCCTAACCGTAAGTCTACATCAACACCCGAAATGATCTGCTTACAGTTATGAAAATCGCAGTGCGATAACTGCTTCTACTGCAGACGCGGCAATTCCCTCTTGTGTGAGAACTTCAACGCCAGAGGGGTCACTCTTGATGGCGGCTTTGCCGAATACATCGTATAGTAAGCACAGCCCATCAGGACGCCCATGCTTCCACTCACATGTGATTTCTCTTCGTAATTCCAATTCCAATTTCATATCTCAGCCATCAGAAGAAGCTGTACAAAATCAAGCACCTCACAGATGAAGAATCCACCCTTCTAGAACCAGCCGCATGCGCAATACACGGCCTCGACAAACTCAACCCACCCGTCGGAATTGAAGTCCTTCTTCTCGGCGCAGGACCTACCGGTCTCATCCTCGCACAGCTCCTCAAGCTCAACGGTGCCTCCCGCGTCGTCATCGCCGCTAACAAAGGCATCAAGATGGACATCGCGCGCCAACTCGAGGCCGGTGATGAATACATCGAGCTTGACCGCCAGAACCCCGATGCGCAGTGGCAGAAGCTCAAAGACGATAATCCATATGGCTTCGACGTGGTAGTAGAAGCTACGGGAGTGGAGAAGATCGCGAATATGTCAATTGGATATGTGAGGAGGGGTGGGACGTTGATGATTTATGGGGTGTATGAGAACAAGGCGCTCGTTCATTGGCCTCCGTCCAAGATCTTTGGAGATGAGATTACTGTGAGTTTTTATTTATAACTTTGACGGCGATACGATGGTGATGTCCCTTGCGCCTATTAGATCATCGGCTCTTTCTCGCAGACATACTGCTTCCCACGAGCAGTCGCATACCTCGATAGTGGAAAGGTCAAGGTCAAGGGAATGGTGACGGATGTGTTCAAGCTTGAGGATTATCAACTGGCCTTGGACAAGATGAACAGCAGAGGAGCGTTGAAGATCGCAATCAAGCCATGAGTGCGCTGTAGTCCGCATCTCCTGCGATAAGTAATACGTTGTACTTTTATCCATTATCTATCGCGGCTCGACGCCATGTATGATACCCATCCCTGTATCGTCAAAGTCAACGTGCGACTCCCAACTTGTATATCATAGCAGTCACAACTCGATGCGTTCGACTCTGTAAATGACACAGCTGCTGTAACACAAACACATCAGAAGGAAACTAAGCGCCAAGTCTCGACCTGTACAAGCCGCACACGTATAGTAGAATTCAACGGGTTGACCTCCGAGAATTCCATACGCATGCGCCTTGTATTCAGTGTTCCTTCGAATGCAATCTGCTCAGTGCTAGGACAAAGTCTCAGCGGACGTAATTGACCTGTACAAGCCGCACACGTGTAATAGAATTCAACGAGTTGACACTCGAGTGTTCGTACTATACACATGCGCCTTGTATTCGGTGTTCCGATCTGCTCAAAACGCTGTATTGAATTTACCTAGGACAAAGTCTAGGCCACAAGTCACATGTCAGCAAGGGTAAGTACGAGTAACGAGGACATGCATACCTCAGCGGACGCGATAAAGAACGCTGAGGTAGGACTGGCGAGGAAAACCAATTAAGTATCGAATGTCAAGATGTCCGAGACGGAAAGATGCCACCGGTGACAACGACGCCGGTGGAAACGACATGCGATAAAGACTCGAGAAAGGAAAGGAAGCAAATACAAGTCCCGGTGACTAATCCTCCGGGACTGGTAGCACGCGTACATATGATCCTATCGCCAACAGTTGTCTAGGTCCTGCACAGAAGGAAGACGAAGATCGAGGCATCTGGATACAGAGTCACGAGACCCATATTTAGCCCCCGCTCGCTATCTTGATAGAATCCTACTTGCGATTATCAATCCGAGCTCGATTCGCTACTGATCGAAGACTCACGAGGAACAATAAACTCCAGGATCTCCTTCTAGTTTGTGAAATACCATGCTGAGTAGCGAACGTCACGCAGTGATGTTTGGGTAGTGGGTGAATCACAAGATGATGAGACTTCAGCACAGTGAGTCATCCACTACCCAAGATCACTAATTAGAAATTGCTAAAACGAAACATCCATCTGCCAGCTTGGTTGGTGGTATAGGGCTCTATCATCGTAATCTTTGCAGTGTCTGTTAAAAGTGGTCAATGTCATACTTGTGTGATGACAGCTGGACTCTGAAGCATGCATGCCAGTGCAAGTGACAACTGCTTGCGATCATCAATCCGAGCTCGATTCGCTACTGATCGAGGACTCACGAGGAACAATAGACTCCAGTGTCCTTCTAGCTTGGGCTGAGTTAGTGAGAATCGAACGCCACGCTTGTAGTACAAGCCGCAAACGTATAACAGTATCCAACGTGTTCGGACGCATGTTTCTGTTATACGAATGCGCCTGGTGACTGGTGGTGGAGTGCTAGAGTCTAGACGGATAGTTTTCTACTCCCGCACGGTGATGGTGGGCGATAGAAGCAAGACGAAGAAAAAGAATCAAAATCAAAATCAAGATCGTTGACTCAGTGGGTTCAAGGTGTCTCGTAACCGACTTGTATGCAGCCCCCACTCTACGCCCGCCATAGCAATTGTCAATTTGAGGGCGATTTGCTACTGAGCTGAGGGGACTCACCGATGGGGTTGTACAGTTTTTCATTTCCCAGGCTGAGTACTAGATACTGTGAGGCGAGAAGAGCGCCGTGAGGTGATATTTGAGCACACTTGCGACCATGTCGGAGCAGATGGCGCACCATTGAAGACTAGTGAATCAGCTATCGAACCTCCGGAACATCCTCCGAGTAGGTTATTTCGTGGCTTTTGAACCACCTCGGACTTCATCGATCATCGATAGTCTATATAGAAAACGAGAGAGGTAAGTTCAAAGTCAGAACCAAACAAAGGCAGGGTGCCACGGTTATTAGTCAGCACGAGTTGCGACTTTGTTCAACTTGAACCAAACTCGAACTACTTACTCCAGTACTTTCAGACCAGAACTCATTTAGCTGGTAAACTGGCGCATCGGAATGACCGTACTAGTATCAGGTCGTAGAAGCCTCACCAACCCAACTTGACCCATGCATCGCTCTCCTCTCGCAAATTCCTAATTTGGGTTTCAGTGCCTTTCAAGGCATTGCAACGTTCCACCTAGACTCGTAACCAGTCTGACTATGCACCACTCGAGTACCCGTGGTAGTATACGCCAGACTGGTCACGAGCCTACGTTCCACCAAAGACCAAATGTACAGTTGCTTTTGTGAGAATCTGTGACTAAATCTGAACTTTGCAAGATCTTGTAGTTTACTGATTAGTGGCTGAGCATCGCCTCATTCTGTGGATCTGTTATCGCTTCCTCGACTCCAGCTTCAGTGGCTCTCAGTACGCACTCAGTCTTAACTTGAATGGTTCGTGACAGGCAAGTACTTTTTGTGGGCCCTGCACACCCTGCTCGTGGGGCTGGCCAGACTCACGTCAATCGGAGCCCATTCCTCTGTCGCTTCCGAGTCCTCATTATAGGAAGAGCGAATGCAGGCAAAACTACCATTCTTCAGACGGTCTGCAAAACATGGGAGAACCCTGAGATATACGATAGCTCTGGGGCAAAGTTAAATGTGCGCAACATGGTGCTAGTAGGAGGATGGTAGTTGATTGACTCATCGAGATCAGATTGATTCCACCGTTTTGATGGCATCGAGGGAGGTAACAAGTATGGGCTTTTAATTCGCAACGTGACCTGATGTGTTCTTAGCGCGGATCGCATGATATCGATAATGAAATGGTGTTTGGAAGCAACCCAAGATATGTCTTTCACGATTCACGTGGTTTCGAGGCAGGCGGACGCTCCGAATTCGACCTCGTGAAGGAATTTATCGCGAGGCGGTCTCAGGAAGAGCATTTAGAGAATCGGTTTCATGCCATATGGTAACTTTTCACCTTGGTGGCGTGAAATAGCTCACTTCTTTGACATAGGTACTGCATTCCAATGGATGAGAAATGCAGATGGTTCACAGCGGGGGAATCCAATTTTTTCTCTCAGTGCGACACTAGAAACAGTAAGCCTTTGGATCCCACTAATTGTTTGCGATCAACTCATTTCGTTGTTCACAATTCTCAGTTCCAGTGATAGTATTATTCACGAAGTTTGACGCCCTCCATGACGAAGAATTTGCAAAGCTGAAAAGTGGGGGAGCATCGAGGGAGGATGCGAAGAAACTGGCTTCCAAGAATGCCATGGAGTCATTTATGAACGGGTCAGAACTGAAGTCTCTATATGACCCTGCCAACATTCGTTACCCGCCGAAACGTCACGTATGCCTTGCTGGTACGTTGTTTGATTATCACTTTGAAGTCAACAGGGCCGCTTATCTATGTTTGACATCCAGACATGAATGAGGGTGGTGCAGATTGCAGTCCACTCATCGAATGCACGGCTGAAGCGCTGGATAATGAAACACTCAAGCAGTTAATAATCTCAACTCAGCAGACTAATTTGGAGCTGTGCATCAAATACGCGGTTGAAAGGCGGCTCCCAAAACATTGTTTGAGTGGCAATGACTGAATTTGACTTTAGAACACTTGCAGCACACCTCGGTTCTGTTCAGACAATCTCCATATCGGCGGATGATCAAGGGGAAAAGCTGATAGCCAACCTGGCTGGCTGGCTGGCTGGTTTCCGCATCTTTCAGTGAGATGCTAATTTTCAAAAATCCTCACCCGCTGATGTTGGTCGGTTTTTGCAGGCTGTACGTCGATTAATCCTCTTTGGAGCCTGCGCCTTGCTGACCTCAAATTTACTGACCCAATGACAGGCTGTGAGTGTGTTGATCCTTTGCCGATCTCGGGGTTTTCTGACTGACGAATTCCTGATCCTTGGCAGAGAGTGAGTGTGCTTATTTTTGGTAGAGCTCGGGCCATGCTGACTAAAGACATTTCGGATCTGATGACAGACTGTAAGTGTGTTGATTCTGTGTCAACCTCGAGCCTTGCTGACTGATGAAATTACCGACCCGTTTATAGTTCGTAAGTGTCTATACTATACTCTGTCAAGGTCGAGCCATGCTGATCGAAGAAATTGCTGATCATTGATAGGATGTGAGTATTGTGATCATATCTGTCGGGTTTTAGCCCCTGACCAGAAAATTCACCGATTGCTACAGGCTGTGAGTGTGTCGGTTCTCAGTGGAGCTCGAGCCATACTGACTATACAAATTGCCCATCTGATAACAGTTCGTGAGGTTGTAGATCCTCCTTTGAGTTCGGCCCCTGTTAATCCCAGAAATTGCTTATCTGTCTACAGTTCGTGAGCGTGCCGATTCTTTGTCAAGATCGAGGCATACTAACCAAAGATCTTGCTGATCTATTGATAGGTTGTGAGTGTAGAGATCCTCTGTCGAACTCAGCCACGCTGACCGAAGAATGTGCTGATCATTGTAACAGGCTGTGAGTGTGTCGATTTTCGAATCATGCAAACCGAACTTAAAAGTTTTGTTGATCCGATGACAGGACGTGAGTGTTTTGACTTTCAGTATGGCTCAGCCATGCTGACCGAAAAATTGTATCCTCCGATGATAGTTGGTGAGTGTCTCGATCGAGTCACGGTGACCGAAGAATTTATTGATATGCTGACAGGAAGTGAGTGCGTTGATTCCCTGTGAAGGCCGAGGTATGCTTACCGAAGACATTAATATTGTGGATCCGATAACAGCGGGTGAGCATACTTTCTCTGTCCATCTCAACGTTTGCTCATCAGAGAAATTTGCCATCCCATCGATAGCGAGTGAGTATGTTGATACTATGTTGAGGTCGACACATGCTGACCGACAAATTTGCCGATCTGTGATTAGGAAGTGAGTGTGGTGATTCTCCAGCAAGTTCGCGCCGCGCTGACCAAGGAAATGACCGATCTGATGACAGGCCGTGAGTGATCATTATCATCTGTCCAGTGTCGACTCTCGTTGACCGTAGAAATCGTTGGTTTGTTGACAGTTTGTGAGTGTGTTGATCCTTAGTTGACCTCAAGTCTTGCTAACCAAAAAAATCGCATATGCACGCTGGTAGCTCGTGAGTTTTTTGATTCTTCGCAAAGTTCGAGCCATACTGACCGAAGATTTTAACAATCTGTTGATAGTTGGTGCGTCTGTTTATCCCCAATCAAAGTTCGAGCTACGCCAACCAGAGAGAGTTTGTTGATGCTCTGACAGCCTGTAAGTGTAGTGATACTTTGACCTTGGCCATGATAACCCAAGTTATCCCCAATTTGTTGACAGCTGGTGAGCGGTTTATTTTCCATCGAGGTCGAACTACACTGACCAAAGAATTATCGATGTACTGATAGCCTGTGAGCGTACCGATCCTCTGTCGAGCTCGAGTCATGCTGACTGTAGATGGATGTTGTTAATTCATTGATAGTTGGTGAGTGTTCTTATCCTCCAGGAGGTCGAGCTGCGCTGACCAAAGTTTGTTGATGTGCTGCAGCCCGTATGTGCGATGATCCTCTATCTCCTGTAATACTCATTGACAATATTCCGAACTTATCGATAGTTGGTGAGCATGTTGATCCTCCATTGGTGTTGAGTCATCTGACCGAGGTGCTGATAGCAAGTAAGTGTGTTGGTCCTGTGTGAGGTTTAGCCATGTTGACAAAAGTAACTGTGGGTGGAATTATAGCATGCGGTGAGTAGCCCGTACCATGCTGACTGCAGACATTGCTGACCCAATGATTAGGTTGTGAGTGTGTTGATCCAGCGCCTACCTCGCTCCATACTAAATAAAAGACATTGTCAATTTGTTGACAGTTGGTGAGCATCTCGCTCCTACTGCGAGGTCAAGCTATGCTGACCAAAGATATCCCGATCTGGTGATAGGGTGTGAGTGTGTTAATTCTTCATTTAGGCCGAACTATGCTGACCGTAGAATTTGGCGACCCGTTGATAGGATGTGAGTGATCATCTCTCCAGCACCACTCTTACTCACCAAAGATATCGATGTCACCGATGCGTTGACAGTCCGTGAGCAATGTTGACCCTACGTCGAGGTTGAGCTATGCTGACCGAAGAACTTACCACTATGTTAATAGGATGTGAGTGTTCTGGTTTTCCAGTTAAGTCTGAGGAAAGATGCTGATCAAGAATTTGCCGATCCGATGATAGGCTGTGAGTGTTGATAGTTAAGATCGAGCCATGCTGACCAAAGAACTTATGGATCCGTTCACAGAGCCGCGTGAGTATGTTATTTTCCCATCGAGCCCCGTGCCATGCTAACCGTAGCCATCGTTGATCCATTCACAGCGTGTGAGTGTATCGATTCACCGTGCAGCTCGACTTTTACTGAAACACAAATTTGCCAATCTCCTGACAGCCCGTGAGTGATGTTGATTCTCCGGGGTCGAGCAATGCTGACTGAAGAATTTGTTTAACAGGCTGTGAGTATACTGATTCTCGCTCGAGGTCTATTATACTGACCAAAGTACTTTTGGATCTGATGATAGGACGTGAAGATGGACGTGATGGTAAGACCTTGCGTCGGCATCAAGCCATACTGATTGCACAAACCATCATGTGACCTAATCAATCAGGATGTAAGCAGTTTTCAATTAACTGTTATGCCATTATGCAGCTGGGATGAAGCATTGACTGACAATTTGACCAGTTTTCGGACTCCCAACGCAAGGAGATTCGGTCTAGGTTATGCTCTCTTGCATGTCTTGCTTGTCGTCGACTTTCCTGTCATTTAATATGTGCTAGGCTTGTGGATCATCAACATTGGAGGAAGTTGTTCAGCTCGGGTCTGGTAAATTTTTACATGAAATAGAAATGACCCCTTTTCTGATCGTGTATCAAGCTGTGATCCTTATTTTCGAACGCTCTTTCCGTCTCTGGGACCAGCAACGCTATCATCGGGACCAGCAAGTGTCCGGTCACCCTCTGAATGATGCTCTCGAGCAATACATGACGTCCGTGGATGAGGCTGCTATCAGGGAGGCTCTGAGAGATGCTGTCGACAGATTTCGTTCCTCTCGGTGGAAAAACGCGGTTGATCAAAGCACTTCCATTGGCTCTCAAAGGAAGACGCAGTTTATCAATACAATTCTTCAAGTCATATTGCAGCATTGCCTGTGTAGGTTTCAAACACTCTTGATCGTGGCAGTCTCGCTGATTTTGTCTCGATTTTAGGCGATGGATGATGTTTATAGTTGAGCCGAGGTGTTTTGACCATTGTTCGGCCACGAAATTTGAGCGCAACCAATAACTTTGGGAAGGATGGGATTGGAAAAGAAATTGAATAAATAGTTCAATGAGAAAAGCGATGGAAGAGATGCATCAAACTCAAAATTACACCACAGGCGGGTTGTGAATGGAATGACCATGAAACAGTAATTTCACGCCATCACTCATGTTCGTTATCGCACCCCTTTTTTTACGTGAATCAAATGCAGGAAATGCACGAGTTTTGTGGACGAAACTGTTTTCGTGACACGGGGGAAGGAATCCAGTCTGAAATTGAAGGGCAACTCCTCCTGCAATAAGTCAAACCTAAGGACTAGCGTTCTTCCTGCTTCCTGACACATTTCCCCCAGCAACGACAGTGCATGAAGAACGTACTTCAAATACTCGAGCAATGAATAAAGTTGCAAAAGACGCTTCTATGAGTAGACGATAGCACGAGAAGGGATACAAAGCAAATATCAAGGAACAGGCCGGGTACACCAATGGGATCAAATATCAAGAGTCAACAGCTTGTACTACTAGGGACTAGCCTGATGAAAACCATGCGAGATAGAACTACACATCAATATGAATAAATACCATCCTCTGCTCGAGCGGCACTTTCGTTTTCACGGCGTGAGTAGCACGGTTGAGTGCCCAGGCCGCCTTCGTACAGTCCATGACACCACCATCCTCCAAATATTTGAACATGTTCTCATAGAAAGCTTGGACGACGTGCTTTGCAACAACATCGTCGACATCATCACAAACGCAGAATTATATCTCATCTCATCACATGAAGGGCGCGTCTAAAACGGCCGGCGGGAACGGCGGACTGATGGGGGCACGCCCCACATCAGGGCATTCGCGACTTCAGAGACCAAAGGACACCGGGGGTCCTATAGATTAGAAAGCACTGTCCTACATAGAGTATTCCTCTCAATGGACAAAAAACTGGATTAAAAAAAAAAAAAAAAAAAAAAAAAAACATCGTCGACCTCCCACAGTGCGCTAACGACGCTCTTGAACCCCGAAAACTGGAGACCAGCTGCGAGGTGAATGACTTCGTCGGGCGTCTTCTTATCGCCAACGGCGGTATGACAACCGGATAAGAACGCGAACTCGGCGTGCGGAATGTCTCTCTCCATGATACCGAGCAGCGTGAGATGTTCATCTCTCATGACGAAATGAGAATTGTAAGGCTGCGTGGGGTCCTGCTTGGCATGACAGGCAAGGTGCATCCAGGTGTTCTGCTGGAAAGCTTTGAGTGCACCTGCTCGTGTGGCTGCGTCGCCAGAAATAGTGGTGCAGTTGGCAGTCGCAGGGACGAGCTTATGGACAAGCTCGAGCTCCCTGTCAACAGCCAATAGCACCTTGCCTTTCCCTACACCTGGTGGACCTTGTCCGATCGCTATAAAGGATGGAGGCATACGCTTCTTCATCAACTTTCTAGATCTGATCAGAGCCGAAAGTGTTGGTGCGTAAGAACAGATGTAGAGATCCTCCGGGCATGGCTCCTTGGAGCGATCTGCCTTTGTTTGAAAGGGGTTAGCTGCGTGGAGAGGAATGGACGTGAAAGCTGCAGTTGGACACAGCCAGATTCGAGAGTGGCGCTTTAGTTTGAGGACGTGCTCGAGTACGTTGACAATGGGAAACATGATCTCGTCCCATATTATCCGCGAGAGTACTATTAGATCCGTCCTCGGCTCAGTTGGATTCATCCGAGATGCTTGTCGTATTGCCCTGGTGAAGCGATCATTGAGATTGTTCAGATCTGCGAGAGTGACAGACGGAAAGGGAACATGATGGGGGTCTCCTGACGTCGGGATAATGATGGCGCTGCACAAGTGTTGACTCGCAATGAGGATAATGACCGGGCCATGGCGTGCTGCTGCTTGTAGGTCTTTGTATGAAGGTGGGAGTAGGAACCGTGAGAACGCTCGAAGATCACGTATCTCAGCTACCGCAGCTTCCCATTGCTTCAGAAGTCTCCTATACTCTGTTGCTGCCCGATCAACAGCAGCTCTGTCGGTGATAATTGCAGAACTCTGTGCGAAATTGGAAATGTGCTTGCTCAGCTCCAAATAATTGTGCGCCAGTCTCGGATTTGCTGATTCGAGGTCTGCAACTGGAGTCCTGAGTCGAGATGCCAGTGACCATTGCTGGCCACGACCTTGCTCCAGAAGTTCAACTGCCTGTTGTAAATTACCACAACGTATGACACATGAGGCTGCATCTACAGGAAATGATTGTGCATCACGAAAAGCGGTTGCAGCCTCACGCCGTGATATAAGCGATGATCGCGTCATCACGTGGCTGTCGAAAAGCTCAAAGCACATCTGGTATGCTTCGAGGGCAGATTGATGTTGATGAAGTTCTGCTTGGCGAGCCCAGTCAATAGCCTCTTTGATACGCCGAGGAAATCCTTGACTAGGATGACTGGATGCCATTCGTCGGAAGTTCTCCATTGCGAGCGATAAATCAGCAGAGTTGTGTAGAATCTGGTAACGAGATAAACAGGCCGTCCGCAGCCACGCGTAGCTGAAACACCTGTCCGGGTGTAGTGAAGGCAGAACCGCCAATGATTGTTGGCAGAAAGTAATGGCCTCCTCAACATCTTCATTCACCTGAGTGTGCGTGAAACGAGAGCAGAGCGCTGAGCTAAAATTGTAAAGATTCACATGGCGCCTTGGATCGTCAAGCTGCATTAAGCGAAGGGATTCGCGATACAGATCAATGGCCTCGTTAAGATCGTCGCTGACATCTGATTTATCATATCTGGTTTCAAGCGCGTTGGCCAGGTTGCCAAGCGTGGTGTCACGGTGTGGATGCCCAGGTGGGCACAACATCAGGGCCTCGCGATAGAGGCTGATAGCTCGGGTGATGTCATCAATTTCGCCGCTTATGTCGCTACGGGTGAGGAGGGTGCTCCCTAGGTTGTTCAATGACGAATACCAAGATTCGTTCCCAACAGGGCGCAGGTACAGCGCTTCTTCTTGCAAAAAGATGGCCTCATCGAGGTCATTACATTTGCCTTGGTGATTAAAGCGGAACACGAGTGATAAGGACAAGCTGATCAGGTAGGTATCGTAGTCAGCATGTCCCTCGGGGCACAGTCGAACGGCTTCACGACAAAGTTGTATAGTCTCGTCTATATCATCAATGCTGCCACACTGTTGGAAGCGGGCTTCGACGGCCTGTGCAAGCCAGTGAAGGGCACTGGGACGGAGTTGATGGCCCAGAGGACAGAACTCGAGGACGACTCTTCGAAGGTGGATGTCTGCATCAGATGCATCAGTTGGAAGATCGTTGCATCCACCAATCACATAGTCGACACCATTTTCCCCTGCCGCAATGCTACAAAGGTAGGTGTCCTCTGGACAGAGAGGTAGTAGCTCATGATAGAGTTGTACGGCTTCACGGATGTCGGCAGCAGTACGTTTCTTCTTGTAGCGCCAAGTCAGCGCTGTGGTGAGATTATATAGAGATAAGGGATGATCGGGATGGTGCTGCGGACGCAATGCAAGGGCGTCGCGGAAGAGGGAAGTGGTGGTATTGATGTCCTCACGATGGTTTTCGATATAGCCTTCAAGGCGTGCATACGCAAGATTGGTAAGAGCTGTTGCGTGGTCTAGATGGCTGACCGGACACCGGTCCAGAACTAACTGAAAACGCTCTACAGCATCGTTCAGGTGAGAGACCTTCTTGCTCGTCACGTATTTGGCCAATCGTGCGTGGCCCACATCTGTGTCTCGCGCAATTTTGTAGTCTACGAGGGACTGCAGTGGGTGTTCCGTCAGAAAAAGCTAAGATGACATAGTCCGGCATCACTCACTTCAAATAGTGCGCCGTTTTGATTGTCGGAAGTATGTATAATGGCAACCTTCAGTGTGAGGAAAGGATGGACACCGCGCACGGGTGGGAAGGATATATCTGCGAGACATTAGTATATGGGCATGAACGAGGGGCAAGTTACTCACTGAATGGCTGACCTCCATGATTGAGTAGTTCATCCCACGACATTTGAAGTTTTCCGATCACTTCTCCACTGCCTAGCATTCGATCGACCTCATAGGACGCCCTGATTTCCGCTGATAATGCAGGTGAGGTATGTGATGATCTATAAACCGATGATCAGTTCTCGCATCGCGTCAGAAAGTCTTTATGGACTTTACAGAATCACAGTATCCCCCCACGCTACTGATTGTTCGGATGATAAGACCCTGATAGCCGATTTCCAGCGTTTCCTCGAGTCGACATCGATGGACACATAAATGCCAGCGGGCATGCGCCTGGAGGGGACTCAAAGATTCTTTCCGTTGATGACTGTAGATAGAGTGTGAGGATCATGAAACAAATACCAAGATAATATGGAGGAACTCACTTTCAAGTCTGATATGTCGTTCTTCTGGGCTACTACGCGTAATTGTGGGACGAAATTTCAAACGACGAACGACACGCAGCATCAGAAATTGAGAGGGATTCAGAATGAATGGTAGGAGAAGGCTGAGGGTAGGCGGAATGAGTGGGACTGTGGTTAGAGTTCAACTTAAGAGGGAGAGGAGAAGAGGTTGAGGCCTGGCGCCTAGGATTCAGGCCAGAACATGCTGCAGTGCACGTGTATTTCCATGTTGTCGCTGGAGTCGGCACGATAGACGCTGGTATGACATCAAGCGCTGGGAATCGAGATCACCAACCACTGACCAGGATTAGTGGAAGAATATTCGTAAAATGATGACAAATGCTAACTTGGGGAAGGTTCAAGCGCTTACGCGGCACACCCACTAAGAACAGACGAAGGAGATAAACTGAACTCTCCTGCGACACACTCGAAAGTTGAAACGTTGAAAACTTAATGGCATAGTACTTACAGTATATAAAAAGGCAGTGCTTCTATTGCAGACGCGGGGAATTCCCTCTTGTGTGAGATTCAAGGCAAGGCCGCGCCCTCGACGGCGATTTTGCAGAATACATCGTATAGTAAGCACAGCTCAGCGCTCAGCACACTAGTACTCATCCTTCCCATGTGATCGAGTGATCCCCATTCCCAATTCGAATTTCATGTCGTAGCCACCAAAAGAAGCTATACAAGATCAAGAACCTCACAGATGAAGAATCCACCCTTCTGGAACCAGCCGCATGCGCAATACACGGCCTCGATAAACTCATCCCACCCGTCGGAATCGAAGTCCTCATCTTAGGCGCAGGCTCTACTGGCCTCATCCTCGCACAGCTCCTCAAGCTCAACGGCGCCCCGCATCGTCATCGCCGCTAACTCAAGATGGACATTGCCCGATAACTCGAGGCTGGTGATGAATACATACAGCTTGGCCGCAGGAACCCCGATGCGCAGTGGCAAAAACTCAAAGACGATAACCCGTATGGATTTGATGTGGTGGTCGAAGCTACGGGGGCGGAGAAGATCGCGGATATGTCGATTGGGTATGTACGGAGGGGTGTGTCGTTGCTGAGCGATGATTTACGGAGTATGTGGGAATAAGGCGCTCGTTCATTGGCCACGTCCAAGATATTTGGTGATGAGATTACTGTGAGTGTGTTATTTTTAGTGCTGAGATGTGATGCTAATGATGTACCTTCTATATCTGAAGATCATCGGCTCGTTCTCGCAGATGTACTGCTTCCCACGAGCAGTCGCATACCTCGATAGCGGAAAAGTCAAAGTGAAGGGAATGGCGACAGATGCCTTCAAGCTTGAGGATTACCAACTAGCATAGACAAGATGAAGAGCAGAGGAGTGTTGAAGATCGCGATCAAGTCATGAGCGCAGATCCGCATCGTGATGGTGCTCCTGCACATAAGTAATACCCTTCATCTGTATCTTATCGCGGCTCGACGCCATGCATGATCCCCATCCCTGTGTCGTCAAAGCCGACGTGAGGCTCCTAACTCATGTATCATGGCGGCACGACTTGATGCGTTCGGCTCTGTAAATGTCACAGTTGCTGTACATATCAGAAGGAAAACTGAGCGCTAAGTACTGATTTTTGACCCTGTACAAGCCACACAAGTATGATAGAATTCGACGTGTCGCCACAACCCGCCCAATTCTATCATACGCATACGCCTTGTATTCGAATGCAATCTGCTCAATGCTGTGGAGTCGTCTAGGTGGCTTTCCACCCCCGCACGGAAGGGTGATAAAGGCAAGACGAAGATGAAGATCAAGGCGTCTGAGCACTGAGTCGTGGTCATGGACCAAGACCCGTTTCAGTGCCCGCTCGTTATCTTGATAGAATCATACTTGCGATTGTCAATTTGAGGTCGATTCGCTACTGATTGAGGACTCACGAGGAACAAGAAAGTCCAGTCTCCCAGCTTGGGTTGAGTAATAAGAATCCAACGCCACGCAGTGATGTTTGGGTAGTGCAAGCCGCTAACGCATAATAGGATTCAACGTGTTGACACATGCTTTTTTCTATTATACGAATGCGCCTGGTAACTGGGTATTCGGTTGCGGTGGATGCAGTGCTGTGGAGTCTAGTCTAGATGGATGGTTTTCTAATCCCGCACGGTGATGGTGGGCGATAGAAGAAAAAGAATCAAGATCAAGATCGTTGACTCAGTGGGTTCAAGGTATCCCGTCTGAGTGATAACCGATTTGTATGCGGCCCCCCTCTACGCCCGCCATGGCAATTGTCAATTTGAGGGCGATTTACTACTGAGCTGAGGGGACTTACCGAGGAGTTTCTACAGTTCCTCATCTCCCAGGCTGAGTACTGACACTGTGAAGCGAATTCAAAGGGAGGAGTGAGGTGATATTTGAGTGCACTTGCGACCATGCAGGAGCAAGCGACGCACCACTGAAGACTAGTGAATCAGCTATCGAACCGCCGAAACATCCTCCGAGTCCTCTCCAAGTAGGTTATTTCGTAGCTTTTGAACCACCTCGGACACCATCGATAGTCTACATAGGAAACGAGTGCTGAAATGATAAGTTCAGATAGAACCGCGCATAAGTCACGGGTTATTGGTCAGCACTGGCAAGTTAACGTTCAACGTTCAGGTCTTCAAGTTCACACTCATTACATAGTACTTACTCTAGCACTTCCAGACTATGAACTCATTTAGCTGGTAAACTGTCGTGTCGGAACGATTGGACTACTAGCATCGGCTGGTCGTAGAAGTCTCACCAACCAAACCCATGCCTTACTCTCCTCCACCACACACCATCTTTTCAGCGAGGTTATGCCCTTTCTCGATTTCCAAACCGAAGGACCAGTTTTGGAAGGACTCCGAGTTCAGGATGCAAACCCACCAGGAAACCGTGCCATCTCAGTCTGTTCAGGATGGACTCATCACGATTTACATATGAGGAACAGTCCTCTGCGCATTTGGGACGCAGGCTAGTAATCCGGAGAAGGTTTGAAGCGCCTGTTGGTCAATAATAATACGTTGGTCATCGCAAGGTGTGTTTTCTCATTAAACTACATAGACGACCGTTGAGCTAATTTATCATGATTGTAGAATGCTTGAAATGCTGAGCATATTCATGAGTTTTGAGCAGTCGAACCGGTATACCATTGGTACGTGATATTTAAGTCTTATTGTGCGTCAGCTAACAATTAGAATCATCGACATTTGCATTTGTCCTCAATCAGCCAATGAGGCTGGTGAACGCTTGGCTATATTGCTGAAGAACCGCGAGCCGTCCTGTCGATGTTTGCCAGATAAATCTTCCGTACGCATCGTCCTTTTCGTGTTTTAGTCATGGACCTCCACGGTTCACATATTCTCTGGGTGCGGTTCATAGCACTCCCTCACCAATCACACTAAATTCATCCAATCCCGCAGATTCACCGACCATTCACGCAGATGAACTCACGCATGTTCGTCCAAGTGGTGTTGACATTCATCTGTCGATAGCAGTTGCCTACAGTTAGGACCAAGTTGGCGAGAAACTTCAGAAGTATCCTGTGGCATAGGCCCACTGTATTATGCATTATGATAATGAGACGAAGGTTTGGTGCATATTATAATGAGTCATTTACCAGAAGAAAGATGATCAGTCTTTTTCGCGCACATGTTAGCCTTGATCTTTGGTACTCCTGACTGGCAGAGAATGGCACGTATCTTATGGTTATTGCAGATCCTGGGTATGCTTCAAAATGAAGTACCGTCAACACTAATGTCACCGTTCCTACAGCCCCAGTGACCAAAGATGACGACCTTGCAGCATTCGGGGAGCGTTGGGCTTGAGATGCAGGATGGCTTCCCTTATCTTGCATTATCGTGGTTTCGGCGTTTCTGAAGGAGAACCACGCAACGTTGCTGATTTCGAATCGCACCTGCAAGATTGCTAAAGCGTCATATTTTGGGCTCGCTCTCGTCCACAAGACTTCATTGCGGATAAAATTTTCGTGATAGGATCTGCAACGAGTGGACTCCAGGTCGCAGAATTGGTGGTCAACGACGGCGCTCTAGAAGCCGGTATGGCGCATTGTCCCATTCTGGATAGTATTTTGAGTTTTTCGCTACTAATGCCCCCATTGAATCGCACAAATTCCAGCGAAAGCGACCATAACAAGCGCCTCCCGAACCTGAGGCTTTCGTTTTGGGTGCGTGTTGACTACACCAGAAAAAGACTCGGTCTCAGTCCAATTTTTACTTGCGCTGTCGGAAAGCCGGGAGAGGTCGCATTTGTGAACTCCCCTCCAAACTTGCTAGGTATTTATTTCTTTAACTCAACTTTGGTTGGCGGAGGAAGCTTCTCAACGATACAATAAGGGAATCATTGTAGATCGACCACAATTCAACTGAACTGCGCTACCTTTTGCCACCAAGTCGCGATGAGTTGCAGAATGGCATGTGTGGTTTTTTCGGCCCGAAAACAAACACCTTCGTGAGACACTGTCAAAAAAGTGCGTCCCGTGGTGGGGGGCCCGTCCGAAGTTTGATTCTACGCTGAGTCCGAAGCTTTACGCAAGGTACTAAAGTAACTTTGCTCGTAGGTAGTATCACCACATGAGCTTAGCTCCAGCCTGGTTCTTCCTCACTTCCTCCAGTACGAAATTCCAGTTATTACACACGTATGTCCCTGGTCGCACGAAAAATGGTTGGGATGAATTTTCCTTGCTTGCTAATAATATGTTTTCCAGCTGAGCGTCACCTCGACACATTATCATCTGGCGCAAGTAGTTGAGGCAGTGACGGCTCAGAGCTGCATTGCTGCTTTCTCCAACAATATTTTCTCGTAGGATATCGAGGCAACGCAATTGGTGGAACATCGAGATCGAGAATGGGTGATCAGGCTGTTCCCCCAAATAAACGAGCCCGTTACCCGGCGTTAGGCTGGCCCACTCCGCCCTCCCATCTTCAGTGTTTATCTGATAATGTGCTGAATCCTCGAAGGCCATCAGGACTGGACTAGTCTGTGCTAGGGGCAACAGTCGAGGAAAATCGTCGCCGACAAACGCTGCGGTGAAAGATCAATGCATGATTCACTTCTTGGCTGCAGGCTCGCTCACAATAGGCCTTGTTCGTTTTTTCATCGACTTGAAGTCTGCAGAAGAAGAGTATCATGCTAATCTTCATAAAAATGCAGAGAGCGAGAATCCAGAGCCGGGTTCTGGAGTTGTTAGTATGCATTGTTGCGTCCATACAAACAAGTCGTCAGCTTACTCCTGCACTGTTATATTAACAGCAACGGACGTACTATGCTATGCGTGTACACTTCCTTGTTCTCGTTTTGCTCATTCTGATGTAAGTGATATTTAAAATAGCTCTCATCGGCATTGATCAGTTATGGGCAGTGTCTGGCAGAATATTTACCCGGTATGTTTCTAATTAGCAGAGTGTTACGGCTGCCAGTAAGAAGACGGCGTAACACTACTAAGATAGCGTTGATCATGATGCTGATGAACACTAGTGTAGTTGGCAATCAATTCACAGGCTACACCGGAAGTTGCACAAGTCAGACAGATCACACGTGGTGGAAAAAACGAATAGCGATGGACGCTAGGCTTAATGGGCGGATAGATGAGACACCCTGTGCAAACCTAATATTAGGCAAACATTCTATAGATCACATGAACGTTACGGTTCAGAAGATTTCTGTGATAATATTGACGTCGGTGCTGCTTGCCGCACCGTCCAATTTGTCGCAAAGCTTACCCGTCACAATACGGCTACTTAATATGTACCAGCTCTCTCATGAAAAAAAACTATTTTTGATCCAAGAGGCGTTCGCTAGTAAATCCACATTGTACACTGGCGTTGTATATCCTTCATTTTTCTACCATGTTCTAAGGCCACAAAGTTCACGTCAGACTTGGTGAACGAAGTCTCTGCCTGCGCAGCTCAGTTGCGTGCCTAGTTAAATCGTTTGACTCTGATACATGTATAGCCCTGCCCGTAAGACTAGTCAGAACACCATTAACAATAGTAGACATAACGGTCATACCTGAAGGTCCCCATATCCTTGCCTGTGACATTCACAAGACAACCAGGGCTAGAGCAGGAGACTGCAAATGTCTGGTATGACTGCGACTTGCACTGAAAGCTTGGCATACGATATGTATTTCCATATGACGCATTCATGTAGCCAATGTGTACCCTCGGTCGAGGAAGTTTCGACCATGACAGATTGTATAGGTCCAACTTATGTCTAGCTGGTAGAGACCAGACATCAAGAATTACAGAGTCGCCAAGATCCGAATAGAGCAAATCTTCTGTGCTGTTTCTTGGAGGGACAGTGAGTGAGAGGCTGCAGTTTTCCATGCCAAAATCAAGCACGCGAAACTGTGCGATGCTTTCGAACTAGAAAAAATTCAGTCTGTTGAATATATTCTTTATGAATAGCATACTTCTTGTGTTACGATAAGCCGTCGCTCGTATATAGGAGCTCTACTTTGTTCCACGGACTTATAGCGCTGAAAACGGAGGGAGGATTTTCTGACGCTCTCTATTGGAAACTTGAGCGATTACTGGTGCATTGTTGATAATTGGCTCGTGGGTAGAGCTCTTGAAATCAGGATTCTTATAGAGGATCTCGAGGTTGAGATATGGATTCTGGAACGGGAGTAGCTCGTCTGAAGTTGAAGCGGAGCGAAGGTCAACTCGAAGAAATCGATCCCAGACAATCATAGAAAAATCCAAGATAGTGCATACAATCATGATCGTTAGGAGCCAGATGGACAACGTCTGGTTGTATTTTGTCCTCCGCGGTAAATCCTCGAGATCTGGGTTTTTCAGCATGGTTTCAATGAAATATATTAACGAATCTTCTTACCTTCATCACACAAAATGAGTGACTTGATTGAGAGTTTGATAACCTTCTCTGGGATTAGAAAATCTATGCAACATAACTGAGCGAGATTAGACGTAGAACTCAGTGAGCTTCAAGTTGATGTTGGATCTGCTTTCGAAATTTTAGAATGGTACTTATCTGAATAAGACAGTTTGACAACGTATAGGCTAGTAACTTGAAGCTATGATACCAGGCAGCGCTGAGAAGGATGATGATCAACGTGGCTGCGTGGAAAACTATACTTACAGCAAACCATTTGTGGCAACAGCTCACCACAGGTGCTGCAGAAAATCACCGGTTGTCATGTTCATAAGTTGCTCATATCGTAATCATGCCTGCCGATAATGATCCGATCGACAACTTGAATGCGACCAAAGACAGTACTGGTATAATCATTGATCCTCTGGAATTAAACTGATTCGCGCCCTTTGTGCCCTGCTTTGTCGGCTCCGTGATATACCAACCGAGCAGTGTGGCGAAGTTCCGTGGCCTGTTATTTGGCTTATTGCTTTCGACCGTACGCTCAGAATGATCTAGCATAGTATCATATTACTGCCACGGGCCGTGGCAAGTGGCCTCACAAACAAGGCTATGCCAGTGTACCAGACGGATTGTCGCCAGAAATTCTGCATTGCTGTACTGCACGCATTGATCCCGACGCGGATGAATTGACGCTCGAAGGTCTTGCCAAAAACACCGTGTCATGTGTTTATTGCCAAATCGGTGGCGGCTTTGCCCATCCAACTCAACTCACCATGAACAACTTTCTGTATAAGCTGTCCATCATTAACCAATTATCAGGTATCGGGCATCTATCGTCACCACTACTTGTCACATGACTCAAGGACGCTACAGAATCTCAGTTGGACGAGTCAGTCATGATATGTATCAGAGGTTATGTCGATTGTAAGATAGCCTTCGAACTATCAACAGCATAGTCATGATGTCTTCAAATCCAGCTCCATCTGTTGATGCCATGACTGGTGGGAACAAGAGTCTCGAGGGGCCATTGTTCCGCGCGATGATCAGGGCCTGCCAGCTTGCCGGAAGAGTATACATCGCAACAGTGAATGATACAGGAGCCATCGCTGGATTAGCTCTCTGGTTTCCTCCAGGGAAAGTTCTTTGGCAAAAGTCAGTTGCGATCATCGCTGGTTACACAACTTCGCTGACCGTCAGAAGTGATGCACAGAGGAATCTTGGCTTTAACCAGTTCTTGGCGTCTCTGTCACCCAAGACCAGAGAATGGTGGATTAACACTGTAAGTAGTACTGATTCTTTCTGATTCTTGTCGTTGATATCTCTATCAAAGTACAGTGGTCCTGCGCTGGCCTCATTTATCGAAACGGCGCTGTCTCCTCATGTGTGTCCAATCCTGTTGTCCAAATTTTTTCTTTAAACTTTTTTTCAGACTGTTGAGAGCTCCTGGTATCTGAATTGTATTTGCGTCGATCCGAAGTATCAACAGTCAAGGAATCGCCACAAACCTGATCAAAATGGTGGAACAGCAGGTGTGGCGTTCCAACTGTTCGTTATGTGTGCATGATTTCATCTCATTTGCAGGCAATGACGACGTCCATCCTTGCGCTCTGCACAGATACCGATGACAACGTGCGTAATTGAAGGGGGTTGCTAAAAACTTGCTCATCGCGCTACAGGTTGCGGTATACAAGGCGCTCCACTTCCAATACAAGGGAGAAGCGCCCCTGCCAACTCCAGAAGATGAATATATCAATGTACATTGTTTCACTAAGCCTGGCGCAAGGGTGTAGGAGTCGCGTTCAACTGTATTGGCCACAGGCATGTCACGGTGGCGGCAGTTCGTGCACGGATCGTCAGAGATACAGGCGGTCTTATACCTACTGACAAATGTCTTGAGCATACTACTTTTCAACTCGAACATATGAAATGAATAACCATGAGTTGGGAATGGGTATCCTGCACTACTACAATACTAGTTCTACTACTAAAAGGGAAGGATTTTGTTCACTCACTTATCCAGAAGAGAGTCAGCTGCTTTGATCGCACGAGCAGTCACTGAGACTTACAGCTGTATGATTGCTAATGGGAGCAGGTTGCCGGTCTTTCCAATTGACAGAAACACTGTCGTATATCTCCCCCCAGTCTCTGCAGACGTGTGTAGCACCAACACGGTGCTGTTCGAAGTCTCGTGTGGTAAAATCTCCTGCTTCCAGTGTGAGATCTGCTTGGCAAAGTATCCATTGTCTTAAATAATTAAGACAGTGATGATTATGATCTTGATTATGTTGACCAGTGAGAGCCGCTCGGAAGAGCCTGAGACAGTGAAGCTGATGGAACATGGCCACGAAGAAAGCCCGGTTCTCTGCACCCAGAGCTACGTGTCCAGTCCCTGGGGGAGAAGTGGAAAGCCATTCGGTCTTGGCCTCTGGAAGGTCTAGCGTAAATCGTACACTTTCCTCCTCCACGAATCTCACTCTGCCCGCGTCAGGTACTAGGGACTCAGGAAAGTCGTCACCCATGAAAGCTGAAAATATAAGTTAAGCTTATCCTAATCTCGGACAGAAAGTACACTGACTAAAACTTTTCTGCCGCCTTGGAGTGTGTGCTTTCGAGAAATTCTGGATGTTCAAGTTCTCCCTTGAGAATATTGTCTTGAATATGATGCTAGTAAGCACGATAGACACAATAGCGAGGGATACCATCATAATCAGGGAGACAGAACGTTCAAGTCGATTGTTGAACATGGTTTGAATCTGTGGACAGACGGATTCGATTGCAAACTAGTACTGAGAATTGTTAAAAGGGTGTCACGGTTCGGGGTCGCAAGCACACATGCGAACAGGCTCATGTTTGGCCTGGAAGGTATTATGCGATGCATAGGATAGCATGCTAGGCTATTCAAATCTGCAGTGGGGCTATGCAATGCATCGTTGATGCAGATTCCATGGTCTGCGGCCGTGAAGAACCATAAGTAAGTCTAAATATAGTGCCCGAGTTGGCGTTGGCATCGGTATCAGCCAATTTTAACATCGGGTCCGTATTGGATCTCAGATCTGATGTTGTTTTCCGCGTGGAGACTTATCATGTAAAATAATCTACTTTCCTTTGTCGTGGAAAGCACACTGCATGACGAACTGTGCATGACTTCACTAGGGGACTGCGTTGCGAACCTTGCTAGGCAATTATGTTACAGATTTAAGTTTCTAGATTTTAGATCTAGATTTATATCACGTGATTACACAGCATGATGTCCATCCAACTCCACTCCGAGTCATCTAGGCTATTAACACACCAGCCAACGATCTACGTTGTAACTTCCTCTCAATTCCACACTTCTCAGCTGTGAAAACTCCTAACTAATGGACCTCCCTGCCAAGAAATACAGGCTCGTGTATCACTATAGTATCCTCCGAGTCAGCTCTAATGGCGGCATAAGCTCCTAAAAATATACATTGAGTACGGAAATGACGACTTCAATTCAATCCTAGTCACTACACTTACCTCCTCCAATATCCTGATGAGTCGAGTGTGGTGCAGCGATTATATAGACCACAAATGCTGAGAGGATGATAAGAATTTTGGCAACCATGTTACAATGACAATGGAGGATGGGTTATAATGGCGGAAGGGATATCTTCCACAATTTATGTCTACGCTGTTCGCCGAATTATGCCTAATTATTTCTGTCCATCAATCATGTTAACTGGTATTGCATGTGCGCTCGGTAACGTAGCATCGGAAGACTGATCCCCAAATCAGCATCAGCTGTTACAAGCTAGTCTCCCCTAGACCATATACGATATTATAAACCGGGAGGTAGTTGTTATCATCGCATGGTTTGTCCATTTCACCTTCCAAACTGCTAGCGAGACAGTGATGGGTGAAGGACAGGTGATTGTATCAACTTTAATACCTCGCTTACACCTCCGAGATGTAAGTTATGCAAATGAAGATAGTCGTTCCTTCTTACTGTGGAACTGAGCTATAGCTTTTTCCCATACATGCATCGGTGAGGACGTAATTTCATCGTCAGACGCGCAGTGTGAAATACGCCCTTCGTTCTCAGGCTGACCATTCCACAGCCTCATACATGCACCGGTGAGGACGTAATTTCATCGTCAGACGTGCAGTGTGAAACACGCCCTTCGTTCTCAGGCTGGCCATATTACGATGCACTTTATTTGGTTTAGGCGAGGTTTTTTTTGTAACTCACCAAACTAGCCAGTGTGGGAGCAATACTAATAATAAAGTTGAAAACGGGCAGATGATATTCTGCAAAAAAAACATGTAATTCAAAAGCTAAATATTTGTAGGTGAACGTGGCATCATATACCCGAGGCCTTACTATCACGGATTTCTTCCTGGTTATATTACTGCTGTCAGAAGATGAGCTGTGATAGTAAAGCAGGAGTGGTTTGAGTGATGTTAGAGGCCGTGTCTCTTGACCACGCAACCCCTGAAGCAATCCCTTAGAATGATGAGCTGGGGCATCAAAACCTAGCAAATCATCGGTGTAAGACTCAATGTAGTAGCGCATGCGAACGCAACCACGAAGGTTCCCCAAACTATTCCTACCGCCGTCGCACTTGGGACGCCTTGGATATAGGTAGCAAGGTAGTCGATTCCCAGAACTGTGAAAGGGAGGGCAGACTCCACCAGAATTTCCGCAATGCCCGTGTAAGGACTCCCACTGTTCATCGTTGAGGACACATCGTACTCTGCGATGAAAGAATAACAGCCGATAGATTATCAATGCAGTTACAATAATGTTAAATCCGACAGTTAATGCGACCCATGAAATGCCGAATTGTGCAGCAAGGCCCTGCCATAGATCTGACGTTGGCATGGCACTCTGAATCACCATCATGGACGCCATAGCTGTACAAAGCAATGATTAGTTTGGTGCTGGATCAACAGCGTAGCACATACTGGCAGATCCCAAGTATATAATCGCAGGGATGACAATTACGGCCAGCTTGACCCCCAAATAATGTAACAGCGATAAGCTTCAAGATGTATGGGCACCAGAGCTCAATAACGATATATGTCGTAAACTTACCAAGAGTCCCGTCTGTCAGAATATTTGCGGCACAGTCTGCCGCTGTGCCAAAGACATTGTCCAGGCGGCCATATTTGCAGCAAGAAATGCAGAGGTGCCACCAGGGTAGTTTTGTCTCTCTATCCACATCAGTTCGCAGAAAGCGTTATTACTTGCAAAGCTGATGGTCAAAAGAAGCAAGAGAAGGCCTCCGAAACACGTGTAGAATATCCTGAGCCGCACTGGCTTGGTTGAGATCATGAGCAGGTAGGTCGAGTAGGCATATAAGAATAAATTCCCTCCTATGCCGAGTACGAGCTGTCAACAAGAGACTGTTACTCATAGGATAGAAAATCACCATAAACAACTGTGGAAATGGTATTTCCAATATACAGCAGCACGCTCCGTAGCGAGCTCGGCGGACGCCATGAGGGACACGGAAAGGGAGACTGTAGGTTGATTGTAGAACTATCACTGGCTATCAGCACTTCAGCCGCACTAATAAATCAGCGATAGTTATAGGTTTACAGAAAACGGCCGACGGAATCCTGATATCATTGTCAAGACTGGTCATCTAAATCATTGCCGCCGGCTTGATCCGTGATATGATGAGTGGCAGAATTTAGTAGCGGCAATTTGTAGTCTAGTACCAAGTGGGAGCAGTGAATTCGAATCCCTCACGATGCGGTGATGCCGATACGGGCCCACCGAACAAATTTGAAGGCAGAAGGGCGCGCAAGTCACGGTTATTAGTCAGCACGGGCTAGCAGCGAGGCCGCCGGAAGGTAACGTTAAACCACTTACTCTAGCTGCTAGCATTTCCAGACCATGAACCCATTTAACTGGTAAACCGTCGCATCAGAATGATTGGACTACTAGCATTGGCAGGTCGTAGAAGTCTCACCAACCCAAACCCATGTTTCGCTCTCCTCCACCACACGCAATCTTTTCAGCGAGGTTACGCCCTTTCTCGATTTCCCGACCGAAGGACAGGGTTTGGAAGGACTCCGAGTTCAGGACGCAAACCCACCCAGGGAACCGTGCCATCCGAGGATGAGACATCACGTTTTACATACGAGGAACAGTCCTCTGCCCATGATTCGCAGCTTTGGGACACGAGTCAAAGAATGCCGTCCAGTAATCCGGAGGAAGGTTTGAAGCACCTGTTACTCAATAATAATACGTTGGTCATCACAAGGTGGTTTTCTTATTGAACTACATAAATGGCTGTCGAGCTGATCAATTCGTCATGATTGTAGAAAGCTTGAAATGCTGAGCATATTCATGGGTTTTGAGCATCGAACCGGTATACTATTGGTACGTGATACTCAAGTCTTATTGTGGGTCATTTGACAATTGTAATCATCAATATCTGTTTTCAATTAGCAAACGAAGCTGGTGAACCGCTTGGCTATATTGCTGAAGAGCCACGAGGTATCCTGTCGATGTTTGCCAGACAAATCTTCCGCACGCATCGTCCGTTTCGTGCTTTAGTCATGGATCTTCACGGGTCACCTATTCTTTGGGTGCGGTCCATATTACTCCCTCCCTAGTCATAAAAATCCATCCAATCCCGTAGATTCGCCGACCATTCGCGTGGATAAACTCACGCATGTTCGTGCAACGGTTAAAAGACCTTCACGAGTATACACCAGAAGGAGAACCCGTCCTAGACACATTCGCAGAAGTCCAACAGGAATGGCATCTTTGGCGAAGACGATACCATCTCTTTCTTCGGTAATGCAATGCATCGCTTTTTTGTGTTGCCGGTACCGACTCCCGAGACTTGTGCCATAGTGATCAGCCCAGGCGCATCCTTTCCACCACCTCCGAGCCCCAGCCTGAGCCTCCGACAGATTCGTTCACCCAATTCGCCAAGATCGACGAGGGGCTCTGGGCGTGGCACTTCAACATGCTCGATGCGCGTGGGACACCCATTGCATCCGTCAACAGGGCGTTCCGCGGCTTTGGAAGAGAGGTAAGTTCCATAACCTATCGCCGCATTTCAAATGTCGTTCAGGGGCTCAATGATTCTTCGTAGATTTTCACTGATACAGGTTCTGACATGCCATGTGCCGAGGTGCCGATCTTACTGATGTGATTGGGGCGTATCACGGTTGATAGGACAATATGTCGTGACTTTTGACGCCACGCGCCCAGACGGATCTGATTCCAATCAGACGCCGCAGCAGCCCACAGTGATTAGGAACCTCACTCTTGACGAGCGTGCGGTAAATATATCTTGGTTGTTTCATCGTCATCACTTTTCTGACACTTTTCTTTTGTGCGGTATTGACTATTGATATTGTAGCTCGTGCTTGCGGCGGCAGGTCAGTAGCTCGAGCGTTTTCATGGATTTGGATATTGACGTCTGGCAGTTAACATCGACTATGATTATTTCTCGAGACATTCGGAGGGTCACGGATTGGGGTTCCCGATGTTGTGGAGCTCAGGGGAGTGAAGGTATTGGGTCATTTTATCGCACTGCTTTATGGCGCCGTTGGGACGCAGCAATTATATTGATGCAGAGATAATATCAATGTACCACAGCTAATCACCTTCTGGTCTCCAACAACTTCAGATCCTCCTGCTCGCGAGCACGCTGGCATCAAAGGTACTGCAGTTGTTTTCTTGATCGATGGATGCTAGACCAAATCCCAGAAAATCGTTGTGGTGGGCAGGTTTCGAACCTTTGAGACTGACAAACGTTGTTCGGGCTCATAGACATTATATGCTTGCGTTTAATCGTCACCGACAAGATATCTCGCTTCCTCGATGTGGATGATCGACCCAGCGAGTCAGACCTAAGATGAGGTGATGTAGTAACGACGGCAGGGCAGAAGCAACGGCAGATTTGTGAACGAGAGCCGTAAGGAAGAGTTTGGTGATAGATCTCGAACCACTCCCAACCGCACCATCCAGCGCCACCCTATAGTACTCCAATCATGACCATGTACACCCCGCAGTGCCTCTCCGCGCTCCTCCAGCCGTCCAGCGAGCCCAACTGCACCATCCAGCATCCTTCCCTACACCCTCACGTTGGTCCGTCTTGGTTCCCGGAGGCCAACAAGAACGAGCGGCAAGCATGCTCGACGTTGTTCGAGCGATTTCGTTGCCCACCACGCGTAGCGTCGAAGGAACGCGGGACTTACGCCAATGGTTCGTGGTACTTAATTGTAGCCTCGATACAGACTTTTTTTTCAGTGGAATGAACTTCAATTACATTGACTAGTGTCACTATTGGATTCATAGCAATGTCATCTCCAGCTTCGCATGTAGGGTGCCCTCGTGGTCTACATATTCAGTCGTACTATAATAGCACAATGTCAGTCAGTTCGAGTTATGGAAGAGAAGTGTAAGAAATGCCTCCTCAATGGATAAACAGACTTACTCGTGCATTACCCAATCGCCCAGCTCTTCCGATATGTGCAAAGTCATTTCGGGAGGAGGCTCACAATCAATGCCCTTAGTGGACCTTTAGTAGCCATTGGCCAACGGAAGCACGAGGAGTAGAGTTTATTGTGGATCATAAGTGCACCACAATTCATGAAGTCAAAACAAATTCAACCTACTGCCAAGGTGCAAGGGCCAGAAACTTTGTGTCTGTCAATGATAATGTGATTTTCAGCGCTTCAGGTGGGGTTGCACGGCTAAATTTCCGGCTGTGTGCCTCGATTAAAAGTACAGCGTTAAGACGCGCTGGAGGGCTAAGCCGACAAAGACCAATCCGGGCGTGCCATATTCCATCAGTAGACATCCTGAAGCGCAACCACCATATGCGTCCTGCAAGGGGTGCCATCACATCAATGAAGGAATAAAGCGAGAGACGTGGACCACGCACCCCCTGCAACAAATTCGTTGTAGCAGTGTTTAGTAGTGCGCAGACGTTTTTGGAACATCCTGATTCGCAAAACAACGTTGAACTGGTTGGCGAGTTCATCGCATGTATGTACCTGAATCTCATCTGGCGG